AAAATAAGTTTTGCATACATATATATTAATTCGTAGTGTGATTAGTTATTTTTAAATAACACTAAAGAGGCTAAATATTATTCATAATATTTTTCAAAAATTCGGTTTTTTCGTAGGGGTTAACCTACATATTTCAAGAAAAATTAGAAAAAATAATATTTTTGTTTTAATGCATAGCTTCATCATGAACTAACATAGTAAGAAGATTAAAGTGGTTTGAGAGCTTAATTGGTCCCATTTCTCCGGAAAATAGAGTTTTTATAGGAGTTATTCCATTTATTAGGTGGAGTATATAGTTTAATTTATTCATTGTGAAATTAGAATAAATGCCCATATACCATGAAAATAAGTTTTGCATACATATATATTAATTTGGAGTGTGACTAGTTATTTTTAAACAACACTAAAGAGGCTAGATAATATTCATAATATTTTCCGAAAATTCAGTTTTTTCGTAGGGGTAACCCCTATGAACTAAATTATAGTATTGAAACTGCTTAACAATCGTTTTGAAAATATTTCATCGTCTTATGAGGATTACGTCAAAATCCACAAAAAATTTCATAGTAACCCCAATGAATTTTTGAAAATTTCAAAACATGTATTTCATGCTATTATATTTTTTTTAAATAACCAATAACTAAATTATAGTTTTGAACTTTTTAACAATTTTAAAAAATAAATTGTCGTCTCCTAAGAATAACTTCAAATTCCACCAAAATTTTCGAGGTCGTGGTCTAACCACTATGAATTTTTGAAAATTTCAATACATGTATATCTTGCTAGTATACTTATTTAAAGACCCATTAACAAAATTATAGTGTTGAAGCTGCTTAACAATTATCGTGAAAATATTTCGTTGCCTCCTAAGGATAATGTCAAAATCAACCAATTTTTTCAAAGTCTTGGGCTAACCCTTATGAATTTCGAAAACATTAAAAATGTATTTCTTGCTAATATACTTATTTAAAACCCCATTAATGAATTTATAGTGTTGAAACTGCTTGACAGTCATTTTGAAAATATTTCGTTGTCTTCTGAAAAACAACGTCAAAATCCACCAATTTTTTTAAGGTCGTGGGTTAACCCCTATGAATTTTTGAAAATTTCAAAACATGTATTCCTTGTTAATATATTTATTTAAAGATTCATTAACTCAATTATAATGTTGAAACTGCTTCACAATCATTTTTAAAATATTTTGTCGGCTTTAGAGGATAACGTCAAATCCACTAACTTTTTCGAGGTCGGGGTGTAACACCCTCTGAATTTTAAATAAATTCAAAACATATATATTTTTCTAGTATACTTATTTAAAGACCTATTCTCAAAATTATTGTATTGAAAATGCTTAACAATCATTTTGAAAATGTTTCGTCGTCTTTTTAGGATAATGTTAAAAATCCACCAAAATGTTTATGAGCCCTTTAGAAAACTTTCTAAACTTTTCAGAAAGCAATTCTGAACCTTCATAAATCAATCATGAACCCTTCAGAAAATGTTTATGAACCCTTCAGAAAAATTTTCAAACCTTTCTGGAAGTAATTCTGAACCTTTCATAAAGCAATTGTGCACCCTTCAAAAAAGCAATTCTGAACCCTTCAGAAAAGCAATTCTAAACCCTTCAAAAAAGTAATTATGAACCTTTCAGAAAGCAATTATGAATCCTTCAAAAAAGTAATTCTAAATCCTTCAGAAAAGATATTCTGAACCCTTCATAAAGCAATTATGAACCATTCAGAAATTGTTTATGAGGCCTTCACGCCTCAAGAAAAATTTTTGAACTCTTCAGAAAGCAATTCTGAACCTTCATAAATCAATTCCGAACCTTTCAGAAAATATTTCTGAACCCTTCAGAAAATTTTTCAAACCTTTCAGGAAGTAATTTTGAACCCTTCAGAAAGCAATTGTGCACCGTTCAGAAAAGCAATTATGAACCTTCAGAAAAGCAATTTTGAACCCTTCGGAAAAGTAAATATGAATCTTTCAGAAAGCAATTCTGAATCCTTCAGAAAAGTAATTTTGAATCCTTCAGAAAAGTAATTATGAATCCTTCAGAAAGCAATTATGAACCATTTAGAAAATGTTTATGAGCCCTTCACCCCTAGAGAAAAAATTATGAACCTTTTAGAAAGTATTCTAAACCCTTCAGAAATTATTTGAACCCTTTAGAAATCAATTTTGAACCCTTCGGAAATCAATTTTGAACCCTTCAGAAATCAATTCTGAATTTTTCAGAAAATAATTTTGAACCCTTCTGAAAATGTTTCTGAACGCTTTAGAAAAATTTATGAATCTTTCAGAAATCAATTATGAATTCTTCAGAAATCAATGCTAAACCTTCACAAATTAATTCTTAATCCTTTAGAAAACAATGCTGAATCATTCGGAAGATATTTTTAAAACCTTCGGAAATCAATCTTGAACTCTTCTAGAAAACAATTTTGAACCTTTCAGAAAGCAATTATGAACCCTCAGAAAATGTTTCTGAGCATTTCAGAAAATATGTTGAACCTTTCAAAAAAAAATTCTGAACTTTTCAGAAAGCCATTCTAAACCCTTTAGAAAATATTTCTACGAATTTTAGAAAAAAATTGAACTCTTCAGAAATCAATTCATGAACCTTTCAGAAAGATATTATTCATAATATCAATTAAGCTCTCAAACATCTTTAATCTTCTTACTATGTTAGTTCATGATGCAGCTATGCATTAAAACAAAAATATTATTTTTTCTAATTTTTCTTGAAATATGTAGGTTAACCCCTACGAAAAAACTGCGTGTCGTGTTTTATTAATTTTAACATCGGGATTTTGATATTGTTTTAATAAGGACGGTGCGTAGTTTGTCATTTAATTTCACAATAGATTCAATGCTCATTATATCCAAAACCCATATAACATAATTATTACTTATGTTTTGTTTTGCTTAGTTGTCATGTTCTCCATAAGTTTAGATAATTTTTTTTATTTCTCATATCTATAATATTATATATAATTTACTTATAAATAAAACGAATTTATATGAATATATCATATTTTAGAAAATAAGATAATTCTTGTGAATTATGTTGTTATCTATATATATATTTAAAGTATTATCTTATTATCTAGAAATATATTTTCATATATAAAACTTAAAAAGATAATTCTTATGTATTATGTTGTTATGTTGAAAATATATTTTTCTATTATAAAACTTAAAATTAAGATATAAAAACTATATTATTAATAATTAAATTTATATTTTAGAAAATAAGTTAATTATTATGTATTATTATCTTGAAGATATATTTTTTATTATAAAATTTAAAATTAACATGTAAAAAATTTATACTATTATTTAAAAAGTGAATTTGATGTTTGCTGATTTATCATATTTTCATGATTTTGAGTAATTTTGATAATTTATATATTTAAAACAAAATTATATTTATAGTATCAGATTCTTAGAGAATAAGATATTTCTTATGTATTAAGTTGTTGTCTTGAAAATATATTTTTGTATTATAAATTTAAAATTAAGATATAAAAAGTTGTAGTTATTCTTATGTCATTAATAATTTTTTGATGTTTGATTTTTACTTTTTGAAAACATAAATAATAACTTATTATGCTGATTTTTAATTAATGAAACATCAACTAATAAATATTTATAAGAGAATTATACCCGCAAGAGCGGGCAAAACACCTAATAACATAATTATTACTTATGTTTTGTCAATTATTAAATGGGATTGCAAAAATTATTGTTTTCAGTTACGAAACGAAACAATAAGTTTACGATTTGCATATCTCGATAAAATAGTTGAATGTAAATATTAATTACGTCCGCGACATGCATGTAACCTAAGTGGTACTCCCTCCGTTTCATATTAAATGTCGTTGTAGAGATTTTTTGCGTTACAAAATAAGTGTCGTTTTTTGTTTTCAATGCAAAATTTATTAATTTTATTATGTAATTTTTTTTTCTATTGGTTAAAATATGGTTAGGTGTATGGGTAATTGTGTTTTTATATAGGAAATATGTAAAATTAATTGTTTCGTTAATCTGTGTGCACAGCTGTAGAGTGACACTTATAATGAAACATAGGGAGTATAACATTGTCTCCGCAAAAGTTAAATAATATGTCAACGATTTCAATGCATGTATCTCGCTCATTCGCTCTCGATACTCGATAATAGTCCGGTGATGTTAAGGCATGCAACTATGTTTATTGGTACGAGGACCGAATAATAAAGATTTTGTACTTGTTTTGGGTTTGATTGGGTTCAGATTCCTTCTACAAATTCCAAAAATACCCTCTTTTAATTCTTCATCCCAAAGGATCTATTGGGTTTCTCGTAAACAGCGAACCAGGATAGTTACACAGACACGTAAGGAAGAAAATCTGACAAGAATCAATTTTCTCGTGATACTTTTCTTTTTTTGTTTCATCTCTTTCGTCATAGTTTATGACCAGAAGACGTTCACACTCAATCATCAGAACTCCATATGCCTTTCTTGATATTTGTTTGAATCGACTTCTCAACTTTGTCAGCTCTTCAGGTTCTCTCTCTGTGTATTACACTATTATGTATATATATGTTCATGGTGAGGCAGAGCATAAAGTTATGCAATGATATTTTTCTAAAGAGATGAAAAGACAGTTTAATGATTAGGATGATAGTTCAGGAGAAATTATTACATGCACTTAAGTTACTAGGTTTTTCTCAGTAATGTCTTTTTGAGCTATGAAATTTTCAACTATTTTTTTTCTTATTCTTAAAATCACATCATCTACCACAATCATATTTTATTATGATTTTTGATTGATTTATACTTAATGAGTTTCAACGCCTGACTTTGTTCTGTAAACTGCTTCAAGTTAGCTCTGTAATTCACATTTTCTATGGGCTTTAGTTGAACTAGATCAAAACTTGATTCATGCATTGACCATATTAGATTGATTCATATGATTAAAACTTTTGAGTGTGACAGGTCAATAACAGGGCCTAAAGATGAGTGATGTATATCCATGGCAATGGAAGGTAGAAAGCAAACGGCTTCTATGGCTATTGGGACTCACATTTGCTCTCATTGTCACATTCCAATACGTCGAGTTACCATACTCCATCTCCTCTCTCTTCTCTTCTACCAAGATTCCCATTTCAAGAAACTCAACTTCACTTATAGGAACCCGTAATCATCATAATGGTAACTTAACTCCGGCTATGGCTCCAACCCTTCTCCCAAGTAGTTCCACTTCAAAAGATTCCAAGGAAGTTGAGGTGGATCAGATAATTAATAGCAGTGGAAACGCGACTGCTTCCGCTGCTCCACCAAAGGAAAATGCAACTGCGCATGGTGCTAACGCAACAGCCTCGGTTGCACTGCCTAGTTTAAAACAATCTCAAGTAAATGAAAATGTAACAGCACATGAGGCTAGTGCAAAGGACCCGTTTCCTTTAAAGCAAAACGCAACATTGCTTACAACCAGCCAAGTTCTTGAAAATAATTCAACTAAAGAAGATGTTGGTGCTGCTTCTCCTCTTGTGAGATTTGTACCTGACTTTAAGGAGAACGCAAAAATGCTTGACTCCGGAGTGATGTCAATATCCGAGATGAGCAAGCAGTTGCGTCGAAACCGTATTTCTCATAATCTTCTTGCGAAGGTAACATGATCATGATCTTATTGTGATACATTCTCACAAGTAGCATTAGTATAATTATAACATTTTTTTCAGGAACCAAAATGGGTAACTAAGCCTGACCTAGAGCTTTTACAAGCAAAACATGAGATTGAGAATGCACCAATTGATGACAAAGACCCTCTCCTCTACGCTCCTCTTTATCGCAACGTCTCCATCTTCAAACGGTGAGATATTTTTTTCTCCTTCAAGTTGCACCAAAGCTTATATACTGATACTAACTTGAAATAATATTGAATTCATAAGGAGCTATGAGATAATGGAGAAGATGTTGAGGGTTTATGTATATAAAGAAGGAGATAAACCTATCATGCACACTCCAATACTGAGAGGGATCTATGCATCCGAAGGATGGTTTATGAAACTTATTGAATCCGACAACAAGTTTGTCACTAAGGACGCTACAAAAGCTCATCTATTCTACTTACCCTTCAGTTCCACAAAGCTCGAGGAGACTCTTTATGTAAAGAACTCCCATAGTCACCGTAATCTCATTAAGTATCTAAAAGACTATATTGACTTCATTTCCATAAAATATCCTTTTTGGAACCGAACTTCTGGAGCTGATCATTTCCTTGCAGCTTGCCATGACTGGGTACGTAACGAATTCTCCTCTTTGACATGCGAATGTTTTTATACATTTCTGATATATCTATGGAGTTATATAGCTGCAATCTTGGAGACCGTTTTCTTAAAACATAGTATTTTGTGACATTTAATTATTCAATGTAAGTTGTAAATAATGTAAGCTTTGAGTCGTTTTGCGATTAGTATATGGGTATTTTGTGACATTTTTCTATGTGAGGTTATAAAGGTTGGATCACTGAGATCAATTTCTAATAAATGTATGTTGTTTTCAGACATTTTGTGACATAATGCTATGAAGTTGTAAATATGTGATCTTTGAGATCATTTTCAGAATAGTATATGGTGTTTTGTGACATTTTGTCAGTGAGGTTATAATGGTTCTTTGAGATCATTTTCTGATATATGTATGTCCTTTTTGCGACATTACGCTATGAAGTTGTAAATATGTGAGCTTTGAGATCATTTTCAGATTAGTATATGGTCTTTTTGTGACATTTGTCTATATAGTGGTTGGATCGTTGAGATCATTTTTTTGATAAATGCATGTCGTGTTGTTACATTTTCAGGCTCCAGCAGAGACACGGAAGCATTTTTCCAAGAGCATTAAGGCGTTTTGCAACGCGGATGTTAAAGAAGGGTTTGTCTTTGGACAGGACACATCTTTACCCGAGACAGTCGTCAGAGATCCCAAGAAACCACTAAGTAACATCGGTGGCATGTCCGCTTCCAAAAGACCAACACTAGCTTTCTTTGCTGGGAATCCCGACCACGGTTACGTTAGGCCCATCCTACTCTCTTACTGGGGTAACAACAAAGATCCTGACATGAAAATATTCGGGAAGCTTCCAAGGTCTAAAGGAAACAAGAACTACCTTCAGTTCATGAAGACAAGCAAGTACTGCATTTGCGCCAAAGGGTATGAAGTAAACAGCCCGAGAGTGGTGGAGGCTATCTTCTATGATTGTGTTCCGGTCATAATATCTGATAACTTTGTGCCACCTTACTTCGAGGTTTTGAACTGGGAGGCGTTTGCGGTTTTTGTGTTGGAGAAAGATATACCTAACTTGAAGAAGATTTTGATGTCTATTTCGGAACGTAGGTATAGGCAAATGCAGATGAGAGTGAAGAGAGTGCAGAAGCATTTTCTGTGGCATGTGAAGCCTGAGAAGTATGATATGTTTCACATGATTCTTCATTCGGTTTGGTTTAACCGAGTTTTCCAAATTTCGGTTTAGAAGTTTGTGTAAACAAATCATTGTACATTTTTTTTACCATGAAATTCAGTTTACAAAAAAAGCCATATCACAAAAATCAAGTAGCCTCCTTTCTCCTTTTGATAATCTAGCTTTCATCAATTTGTACCTCAGCTAGAAAAGTATCAAGTTAAATTCTAAAAGTTGCATGATTGAATCAAGATTTGAGACAAAACTAATATTACATACTTAGAGCATCTCCATCAGCGATACTCTTCTAGCACGATTCCCTACGTCATTTTTTTGTTTGATTTTTTCAAAAAAAAAAAATCAACGAATCATGATCCTCCACGTGGTGAATCATTGACGATCCGGTATCACCGCAGCGAGTTCACGCGACGCGGATTCACCAGTTTTTGTCTCGAAAATGAGTGATCCCTTCTTAGACCCCCTTATAATCCCTCAATGGGGATGGTCTTATTGTTTTAGTTTAGCAAGTTGATCATGGTAAATTAAGACAAAAGATACATAATTTTCTTGAACTAGGTCTTCTATAGTATATTAAACTTTTTTACATTGACATGTGAACCTGGATTTGACCGGCTGTGATTGAGTGGACTGAACCGGTATGTCTAATTAATGTTACAGTATGTGGTTTATTTCTCATTCAGGAGCCAAAGCAGAGTTCAGGAGCAAAACTGAAACTGCCATGTTTTCAGGAAAACCGATCTCAGTGTCTACGGATTTATCTGGAGTTATCCTTCTATATTCCTCATCTTTCTATAACCTTCTTGGGGAAAAAAACTATACAGAGAAGAAGGCAATAAATGGAGATAACGATGTTTGACGTGACTGGAGACATATTTCTATTTAATATGTTTTGTCTGTCTCTTACATAAAACCTTATCATTTCCAACTTTTCAGTAGTTTTAACTTTTCACCAAAACATATACATAGAAATGTATATTTATATACAGCCCAGCATGGGACAAACGAGTAGACGTAGCTACGAAACAAGTTTAAAATTTTAACGGTAATCAATAATGTAATCAATGATTATGAAAAAAGAATAATTATCAATATTTTGCCAAAATATTTGGTGAACCTTCTATTGTACAAGTTGACATTCAAGATTATTATTGTCCACCTAGAAGCTTAATAGAAAAATTATCACACACACATATATATATATTATATATAGTTAGATTATTTCTTCGTTTTTAAAATTATATCTACTGTAGAAAACTATTGTATATTTTAAAAGTAATAAGAATTTTTCTTAATTTTTTTTTTCCATAATTTTTCATAGGCTGCTCTCTTCATTTGAAGCTTTTTAATTTATTTACCAACCTTCATTAATTTGAGGGGGCCATATGACTCCTCGTTAAAAATAATAGACTCATCAAATAATATCTCTTTTGGTCCCAGAATTGAAAAACGTGACAACATATGTCTGATTTCATTATTAAAATATTTATACCGATAGTCATAGACGTGTCGACAACCAAATCGTACAGCAGTTACAGCTTATTGTATCAAACATATGGGAGTATTGTCACCGGCAGTGGCAAGAAAATCATGATTTAGGGTCTAACTGGTGACCATCATAGAAACATAAGGAATGAATAGGAAAAAAAACGTAGAGAAATAAAATTATAGGAATGAAAAGGAAAATTATTCCTTATCAATTTTGGTGAGGAATAAATTTGTTCTATATTCCACTAGAATACAAGGAATGGAAAGGAATAGAAAGGGGAAATTAATCCTTATAAATGGTAAAACAAATTAGGAATGATAAGGAATGCATTTTTTCCTTTCATTCCTTGGTCACCAGTTAGACCCTTAGTGTATTCTTATGGCAACTGCCATTTTTTTAATTCAATGTCATATGTTAACTTTCCAAAAAAAAAAAGATTCTAATAACATTCTGCCAAGAAATTGTTTTCACCAGTTTTGGCATTTTTAGAGATGATAGTTTGATTTTTGTTGGGAAGGATTTGTCTCTAATAATTAGTCTAACTTGATTAAATTTTATGGATCTTTTAGAAAGATGAATAGGCTGAAATGTTGTTCCAACTAGGCATGTCACTACTATTAACTCACTAGATGACAGAGTACTGAGCGAAGTAGTATAGTTTTAATGGCTCATTCCAACATTATATGCTTTTATAAGTTGAATTCTAAAATATAATCATTATGAACATTACGCATTGGAAAAACATTTTATTCCTTTTCAAATAATCATTGTAGACTGGATTTCAAACATTACTTTATAGTTTAGAGTCGTTAGACGCCACAACAGTATGATGTGTTTACTGCTAATTGGTTATATATATTGTAAAATGTCATGCTCAGTCGTTATCACTTATGTCTACAATCGACCATAGAGACACCATCTATCAACAAGGATATAACCACACATATATCTACATAACATTTTAGAAAAGCAATGGAATACAAAAAGATTTAGACATTAGTGGTCCAACTTTGAAAATTTTCGTGGAAAATAAATGAAACTTGTCACTGAATAATATGGTCGACGATGATCAGTCCCTTTTTCTGTTCTGCTCATAATTTTTAAACCCATTGTCATATAGTTAGTGACTATTGTGTTACCACTTACTACTAATAGTTCTCTTGATTAGAATGGTCTTTGTTCTTCCGTTTATAATAAATATACTATGCGGCAGATAGTAGCATCGGTCGGTGAATTCCTGTTGGAAAGTTTCGACAAATTGCAATAATGTAGTTTTACTGTTGCATGCATATGCATACGCATAATATAAATGGTCCAAAACGCAACCATACGCGCGTTTCGTTGACTACCTCCTTACACACACCTTCGAAAAGTAAAAAAAGTATGCCCTACATTTCCAGATGTTTCTTGGACCACACTTTTGCCAATTAAATCAAACAACTTGGGATCTTTTCCCAATGTTTTCCTAATCGATCAAACCTTTTTCTTTCGTCGACATAAAATGCCTTTTCTCCCCTACTTTTTCACATACCTTTGCTTAAATCATGTTCTCGTTATTATATATTTGCGGAACTATATTATTGTACCTTCAAAAGAAAAATATATTAATAGCCTGGCCAAGAAAATGAAAGAAGTTTTAGGTGTTATTAGAAGCTCAACATAGATAATGGGACATATATAAAAAATTATTAGGATGACATAGAGATTAATGGAATATAAATCTTAATCTATAAAAATGTTTGTAATAATATAAACTTCCTACATTTAAAACTTCGATGAAACATATGTTGAATTTCGTCCAAATACGGTGTGATTTGTCTTATCCAAAAGTTGAAATTTAATCCACGAGATGGCTTGTCCATTTCAATACTCAATAATGGTAATTAAGAATCCGGAACGATTCAATCAGAAATTTTGTTAGATGTATAGATTGTACTTGTAGTTTATATTCATTCTCTTGAATACCTAGACCATGTGTCATGACTCTAGGAAATGTGTCTAGTTTACTTTATAATTATGTGGTTACGAGAAGATAACTAATTTTACTTTTCTCTTGCTTTGGTTTTATGGTTTAAACTTACTCCTTCTCCTTGTAAATCGTAAATTTTAGGTTTGGTATGTGGTTTTTGTCAGATTATCGAGATACTGTACGTGTATTATCATAAATACTACGTACGGTCACCAAGTAGAAAGTGAAACAAATTGAAAATTATAATGATGTTTTTAGAAGCTGCTGATTTTATTTTGTTTCGAACACATTGCTCAACAGGAATCTCTAGTTACTCATAGTTAGTACTTAGTAGGGGATTATGATTCTGTTTCGTAGCTAATTTAAACACAAGAATAGCTAGGAAGTTTGAAAATTATGTTTAAATTCTCTTGGCCATATATAGAAACATACCATAGATATGATTTTTAAAATAGCTAGAGATCACTTTATCACCTAAATGTATTTTAATTATATATTATCAACAATTAAGTATTATAATATTAACACTAACATTCCTATGTTAAATTTAAATTTATTGTGGAATTCTATTTTAAAATTAGCTGACAATGAATGAATTGGATCAAATCATTATATACATATAATATATATAATCTAAAATCTTGACATGCTTTTCGAGATAGGTTTTGCTGGTTCATTTTAAACCAAATCATTTTTATATCGATAATAAATATTATTAAACCATTAATTGGATCATAATAGAGGAGTTTTGATATTATGTTAAATTTCAGTCTATGGTGAAGTTTTGGATCAGAACTAATTGATCCTAAGGTTTTAACTTTTTTAAGTCACATACCGTTATGATCTTATTATAGACGTCGACCAGCTTAGTGTTTGTCAAAAAAAAATTGTGTGATCATTTCCCAAACATCTCCTCTAAAACCCCACGCATTCTGATAGATGATCATATAACTATAACTTATTAAGATTCAACCATTTTGGGTTCTCTTTTCTGAAAGAAATAATATAGAACCATCAAATACTATAAAATATAAACATGTTGGTCTAGTTGCTAGTTGGCATTCCACCAAATGATTAGCGCCTAACAACTTTCAGAACTTTGGTTGCCAGTTGCCACAATTATATAAAACTTTATTTTGTAGTAGATGTATCAACAACAATTTTAAAACTCCTCTATGCATATTGAAGATGTGGTTCAGGAACACAAAACGTCGTTCCTTGCTTCTACTTGAATTAGTATATATGTTCATATTAACATTTCGTAACCAACTTCTTTTCATTTTCGCTAGAATCTGTTTTTAAGAGGATCAAATATAAATTTAAAATATACAAAGATAATTTAAACAAAAGAAAAACTTGTGGACAACTCGAATAAGTTGTACATATTTGGAATCATTCTCAAAGTTAACCTCTGCCACGGCTCACGAACACATTTTAGATAATCGAGTTCACATATGTGAAATTGGTTTATCACTGCGGTAACCCTCGTTTTTAGTACGCTAATTATTAATAACATAATACAGTTTTCGTGTCTGGATACTCTATAATTCAGTATTATGAATATGCTAATGTTAATGCTAATGCTACACACCAGAATCAGACCGGCCGTCAAAACCATTAGAGAAACAAAAATCAGAGATGGTCAGTCAGTTGACTACGCATATATATATATATATATATATAAAGTATTATCTACAAGGTTTTGGTGTTCAATCATAACAGTTACATGTTTAACATATAGATTAATAGAATATAATTTCCCTCTTTAAATAGGTTGGCCAAATGGAATAAAAGTAGATGCAAAGACGAATGATCTCGTGGATGGGAAACGTGATAATTTCTCTCTTAAGACTTTGCAGTATTACAATCTCCCATCTAAGCTTTCAACTTAAAATTCATCTGAATCCTATTTATTGCATCTTGAGGAACCTCATATGCATTACATGAACATATAAATAAGTATTTAAATTCTATATGTGATAATGTTTTTGTAGTGACAAACATGATAATGTATTGAGATCACGACCAGTGATAATTGAACAGTAGTTTTGAATTGAAAACTTAAAATAACTAAAAACAGTTGACACTCCATTTTCAACACGAATGAGAAAATTCATAAATTTCAAATAAAATATCACTATCATGTATATAATAAGAGATTTATTCAGTCGGCACTCAGCACTACAACAGAATAATTTATCTCGTTTACTCGTTATATCGATCTTGTCTTGAATTCTAAAGGGAGCTTTTATTTATTTCTATATTGAGTTATTTATTCTAAAGAAAACAATAATTTGCTTTGAGGAATCAGAACGAGATCATTAATTGCATATTTGTTTTATTGATCCTACTGTTTTACGTAATTGCATTAATGCTGGCCTTAGTTTCTTTAATTTCAAAATTGTAATCTTTTTAGAAAAGAAAAACAACATTGTGTCTGAGCAATAGAATAGATTACAGCACTGATGAAATAGTAGAACCGCTTTAACTAAATATAATTTCTACTATTCTAAGCTAGTTAACATTAAAACATGAAAACATGATTAGGTATAAATAATAATTAAAATACCAGCTTGAAAATGTAATGGTAATAATTACTATCTCTAGTGCTAATCTTCTTTTAGAGCACACAGCTTTATTCTTCTCAATAATAACCAAAAAAAATCTCCAAAATTAAACACATCCCTCACTCTCAGTAGTAAAGAGAAAAATAAACAAGCCAAAATATCACTTATTTTTCTGTTCACGTGAAAACAATATTTTGGTAAAGGCAAATATGGATTTATGCTTTTGTCATGATTAATAAAATATATGTACGAGTCTTTTCAGTGTATCAAGATCAAAAATTGCCCGTGGGTCCTTATATATTTTACTCACTGTAGTGCAATATTTGTCCCATATCTGCTTTTAACCCTACAATACCCCAAAACAAATTGTTGCATATATATATAAGGGAGTGACCAAAAATTGTAGACAAACACCCATCAAACTATGTCTCTCAATTTCCTTCATTAACTCATTCCCCAAAATAATACATTTTATCAAATTTTAGTAAGTTACAAAAAAAAAACTTTGGTTAATGTGCCATTGGTGTTTTTCTATAAAGAGAGAAGTACGTCCAAGAACTCAGCTACTAAAGTCAATGAGTCAAGAGAGCAAGGGAGACAAGACCAAACCGGTTAGAGACTCCGGTAAGCATCCGGTTTACCGGGGTGTCCGAAAGAGAAGCTGGGGAAAATGGGTTTCAGAGATAAGAGAGCCAAGGAAGAAATCTCGTATATGGCTCGGAACGTTTCCTTCACCGGAGATGGCGGCGCGTGCTCACGATGTAGCTGCTTTGAGCATCAAAGGAACCTCCGCGATACTCAACTTCCCTGACCTCGTGGGCTCTTTCCCACGGCCAAGCTCGCTTAGCCCTAGAGACATCCAAGTCGCAGCTCTCAAAGCTGCACACATGGAGACCATCATGAAGACCTCACAGTCTTCTCCTTCTTCTTCTCTAACGTCTTATTCTTCGCTAGAGTCACTTGTGTCTACTGGCTCGGAGGAGCTAGAGGAGATTGTTGAGCTGCCGAGTTTAGGGTCGAACTATGATGGTACGACGCAGCTAAGTTATAACGAGTTCATTTTCTCTGACTCGGCAGACTTTTGGGGTTATCCACCACATCAGTTGTCAGAAGGTGATTATGAGATGATTCCTGGCTCAGAAGGTGATTATGAGATGATTCCTGGCTCATTATCACATGATTGGGATATTCCAGTACTGTTTAATTATTGAGTTATAATCATATAATAACATATATATATATATATATATATATATATGTGGCTGCTAGTAATGATGTTTTTAATTTCGTTTTAGTGAACCCTTTATTTTGTGGTGGGTTGAGTTAGGGTTAATTGTCTCTAATCATCTTTTCTCAAATGCGTGTATGTGTGTGTGTGAGCTCCATATATCAATACTTGTACATAATTCTCGCTTTTTTCTTAAGTCAGTGTGGAAAGTTTTGAAAAATAAATAATATTAAACTAGTAGCTAATGGAAGGCCACGTATCATTCTATGTTAAATGAGGTTGTTATTTTGAGATTAATAATAGTCATTTTCTACAGTGTAATTAATTATAATTTTCTTCAGGTTAAGATGAAAATTAATCCTGACCAATCTTTGTCGTTTGCCTTTTCTCCCTTTTTCCATTATCAATACTTGTTGGATATATATAAAAATATAATTTGAATTAGGTGATATATATTAAGATAACCAACACTAAAATAATTTTGCCTGCGACTCTTATTGTATTAATCAATGTGACTTTGTACTCATTGCATTTCCTTTTGCGACCCAATACGAAAGAATCTCTTCTTCTGTCTTTGGAGCACTAAGTGTAATATTGTAATACAAGTAGCTAGCTTGATTGGAATATATGTGTAAAAACAACTGTAATGAATGGTTCGAAATGGATTCTATTTTCTTTTTCTTTCTTTTGTTCGTCACTAACTATCTACGTCATTTTCGTTTTATTGTTGAAAAAAGGCTATAGACTTTAATGATTACACTGTAAATAGAGTCCGTCACTGTCCATTAATTTTCCTGAGTAGACATAGTTCGAAAGAAAAATATTTTGAAACAACTCCCTTGAAATTAAGATTAACGGAACTAATTCTTGCAATATGTTCATGCTCCATAATTTTTTTTAGTAAATTATAAAATGATGGTATGTTTAAGAACTAAAACTTGTATAGACAGCCATAAAAAATACTTGTTGTTTGTGAATATTTTACAAAATAGTAGTGTGTTTGGAACTATTCTATTTTTCTCCTATCATAGCCATGCAAACACTGCACAAAACAAACTATGCGAACAATGAGAACTACAATGTTCATTCATTCAAAAAAAAAAAAGAGAACTACAATGTTCGAAAATCTCTGTATATAATTGAGGTAACTTTTGAAAAACAGAATGGACTTTTTAGACAACTTTTATTAATTCAAACTTAACTTAACCTTTTTTCTTGCTTGCCATTTCAAGGATTCTCTCAATAATTGTCTTTGTGAAAGATATTGGATAGTGGAGGCCGATATAGTAAGGAATGTATATACTATGTGCAAAACCTTAATTTAATATGTTTAGTCCCGACAATACAATATTTAATTGTTAGCTTTACCAAAGAAGTTATAAAAGAATTACCTTTTGACTGTTGGAAGATTTTGTAATCATCGTCCAGGAAATAATAATTGATTAATAGAGCTACTTTAGAATGATTCAACCTCCAAAGCCGTTAATTTGTATTGTTGCTTTTAGTTGTTTTTATTATATAGTAGATGTTCTAGAAAATTATCAGGCATTCTAAGCAGCTTTTAAATACATTTCTTCATTAGATATGATTTCTCGTAGTCAATAATATGTAAATCACTAAATAGTCAAATATCATTTGAACTTCAAATGTGTATTATTGTCTCAAATTCGAAATCTATATTAATATCTTGAGTAGTTTTCAAATTTTTACTGTCATATAACAGGTTTTGCATGTAGAAAGAGCGTAAGTATACTCTTAATGCGTGTATCTAAAATATATTGATCTCAGCTAGCTGGTTTTTGGTCCGTTATGCATTGTAACATCTCTTACTATATATATATCTAAGATGCTTAAGCCATGTTTTTCCAAATCAATAATTTGGCTTAAGAGACCGGTAATCGATCTCACGCAGACCCTAAAACATTCAAGTAGAAGTATACATGCAAAATCCATATGACTTGGGAAAAAATCGATATGAATCATGGATTTTAAGATGATTTAAAATTTAACTGTCTACTCTAACTCCGAGGGGGTAACATTGAAAATCTATAACGAGGTGAAGAAATAATCATTGGCTGTTTGGAAAATAAATTTGTTCCCAATGCTCAGTATCAAGAAACAATTCATGCATCTATTATTGCAGAGTTGGCAAAGTGAAAATGATTACATTTAATAAGAATATACTTTAAATTCAAAATGACATATCAACGGTGGTTTGATGATATGATGGCACAGTAGCAATATAATAATATATAATTATACAATATTATTGTGACATTTTCGTGATGAATTTTTGAAAATCAGATTGATCAAATTAGGCTTCCTTCCGTCGTATATCAACACATCGGTGATTAATTATCTTATATCCTTCACGAAAAAGGCTTGATTTCTGTCTTTAATTGTTACTAGAATTTCACCCGCACGTTCGTGCGGGTATATTTTTATTTTATAAATATATAACAAAATTTTTTAAATATATGATTTATATTTTAGCTTTAACTATAATTATATCTAATAAGTAAATAAAGAAATACTTATTTTATAAAAAAATATTTAAATTTTTGGTAAGATCTTGATAGATTTTTTCAACAGATTTTTTTATTTAAATTCATTTATTATTAATATATTTATTAATTATTAAGATATTTTAAAAATAATATATATTTGACTGGTTAATGTAACAATCAAATATGTCAAATTAAATAATTAATGACATGGTCCAATATGACTTCTAAATAGTAGATAAATTTGGTATTTCTCTTTTAATAGAGAAGATGCATCTTCCTGTATATATACGATATATACACGCGATATACATCATTATATATGTAGCATTTTAAAACAAGGTAATACAAAACCAACGGTTTTTTATAACACCTTTTAACATGACCAAACAACTTTAAAAAGTCAAAAAAGCCAAAAGTTTAGTCTTTTGAAAAAAAATATCAACTAGATGGGTAATACAAATAAGTAGCCACTACGCTCGTCATGTGTACGTACGTCGACAGCATTATTCATTTGCACTAGTAGACTTGTAGTGATAGGATGAACTGTTTAATTTGCCAATTACTTTCATTGGTTCAGCATATATATAAGTCCAGAGATGAAGTAAAGCCAAAACAGAGTGAATTCGTGGTGAAAGAACAATGACCAAATATACATATATAAACTATACCTTCCCAACTTTCTACTTTTGTTCTGTTCCTAACATATTACAACTCCGACATGATATGGGCATATGGGACATCAAAAGTACAGAATAAAATCACCTTAGTCTTTCTTCAAGCATGCAAGTGGTGTTCTATAATTTCTCAGGATCTCTTCCTTCTTTGGTCTCATTCCATTTTTAATACTATAAAACATAATTTAATTAGAAAATTTGGGAGTGACATGTGTTTTTCAAAAAAAAAATTAAACAAATTTTTATTTAATTTTTAAAAACGAATGTCTAATTACACATGTTATTTTTTGCCATTATCTCTATAACTACTACAGTTTTCCACTATCTCATCGATTTTTTAAACTACTTTTTTGTCCCATCAATGCTATCCCTTATCCAACAAAAAGAGAACGACACATTTCCCATCATATCATTGGACTGTCAAGCAAATGTAGGAAAATAAAGAAGTTTCATCGGCTCATGCCAATGCTTAAGACCGACACAAAAGGAATAAGGAACCACCTAAATATCGCTGCCTCCTGGTCCCTCTTGCTTTTTCTTCAACTTGTGCGCAATCTTGTTCGACCGCTCGGTGAACTCGTTGTCATCCTCCTCATCCACAACTTTTTCTTTCCCCTTTCCCTTTTGCTTCTGCTCCTCCGGCTTCTCTTCAACATTCCCCTCACTAATCACAATTTTCCCAGCACTACGACTTCCTTCTTTTGCCTTGATTTTTTAAACTACTTAATAACTATAATTGGTACTTTCCCAATCACCAATGACAACACTAGTTTGTTATCTTTCTTCCAAACTAATATGCTTTTTTTTTCCACAAAATGTGTACTATTATGTTCTACTATTCATGTAAACACCAAAACTGTTTATAACTGTTTTGGGATTGTTTGATAGATCTTTGTGTCAGTTTCATTAATATAGGCTAATTGGAACACTGTGTAAGTATTGTTTTCAACTCTCTTTTAAATTGCACATAAAATATATGAGGATTTTAATGAATACCTGAAAGCCATCAACAATGACCAGTCTAGACATTGTTTTGAGCCAAGTTTTTTAGGATTCTTTATCTCTTCTTAAACCACACCAGGCACTTTTTGAATATGAATCTCTTTGTATATTTGTTTTTCAATTTTTTAAAACAAAAGGGATCAATCCTGTCAGTAGGAACATGAAATCAAAATTCTTGTTTGAGGTTTGAGTAGAAGATTATACAAAGGTTGGATAGAGAGCCTAATAAGTTCAATAATATATGCAAAGAAAGGTAGTAAAATGGACTATGAGTATTTACTATTTAGTTATGTTTCATTCCATCAGAAACAAAAGTGAGTAAATGTTGTATGATTGTAATTGTCCATTGTCACGCCACAGTTTTTTAATTTTGTTTTTGCTCAAAAAAATTAGTCATTTGAAAACTTAGAAAGTATATTTATTTATGAATTTTAAATAATTAAAATTAATATAAGTTTATAAATTAAAAAAATTATTAACTTTTAAAATAGAAAAATGAATTTAATTAATATTTTTCAGTTTACATTTTTTTTTTACAGATGTATGTTTTGATATATAAATCTTTCTAAATCCATTAAAGCTCCCTTATGATTCAAAATCCATAAAAACATCCATAAAATTAAATTAAAATCAGATTCAATTATTATTTACAAATAATTAGTTGAATAACATATGGTGCTGACAATTATCCGAAAATTACAAAGTGAAATTTAGTAAACAAAAGCTGACAAAAAAAAACGTAAACAAAACCTTCATTAAATTGGGCCAACTATCAGGCCTCATTATATAAATACCCCTTAGTACTGTGCTCTATGGGCTTTAAAATTGAACACATCCGATAAAAAGGAAAGTCCTTCAATCCAAACCGTTGATAAAACCCCTTTTAATCTCAGCCGTCAGATCTTCTCATCAAATCAATCAAAATTCAATTTTTTTTTTCAAAAGAGACGAAGAAGAAGAAGAGCTCTTCAGCAATCGTCTCTCCGCTTCACAACTTTTTCACTATGGACAACTCTAATCACGATTCGGACTCTCACCGAAACAATTTGGCGCGTCGATTGGATTTCTCCGTCTCGCCGCCGGCGGCGGCGGCGGCGGAGATTGATTCTTCTCAGGGAAGCGAGAAGACGCATTCGAATCCACTTCTCGATTCGAATTCGTCTCTAGAGGATCAGAGAGAAGAAAAAGAAGCAGACTTTCCTCCTCCTCCGCCGCCGCCGCCGTCAGGTTCCGAGGAGCAAACGGTAGAGTCGCTAAAACCGCCGTCAGCGACGGGACCCAGAACGCCGCCGTTTCATGGGTTTGATCAGAAGCTCTCGGAGTGTCGAGTGAGGTATAAAAGTTTTAAACTTTTAAGCTTTTTGGGAAGTTAGTTAGGGTTTTTTTATTTGATTGTTTATGCAGCAAGGAAGAGACTTTGACGCCACGTGGCAAGCAGACGGAAGTTGAGTCCAAGGAGGTTACTACTACTCCGAGTAAACAGAAGCATTGTAACTGTAAAGCTTCGAGATGCTTGAAGCTGTAAGTGTATGAATTCATGTTAGATTTTTAAAGTGTTGTGATTTGTGGTGATGAGTGTAATCTTTATAGGTATTGTGAATGTTTTGCTTCGGGGTTGTATTGTAATGGTTGTAACTGTTTGCAATGTCATAATAATTTGGAGAATGAGAGTGCGAGACAAGAAGCTATTACTGGGACTTTGGAGCGTAATCCTAATGCGTTCAAGCCTAAGATTGCTGGTAGTCCTCTTGGGACTAAAGAGTTGCAGGTGGGATCTTTGTTACTTGAGTAATACTTAAAAGAGACTTAGGTTTGGTCTTTTAAAGAGTTTAGCTTTGTACACTTGGCTACGACTAGTTAGGAGAGAGGGAAGCAGTTGATTATGCATTTAGAAGGAAGAAAGAAAGTATTAAGAGAAGATTTTGTTACAATGTTCCAAAAATCGCTAGGCGGTGGTTAGAGCATCTCCAAATTTACTCCATAATTTACTGTAAAATGGAGTGGAAAATGGAGTGATGAAAAAAACAAAAAACTCATTACTCCATTTATAGAGTAATCACTTTTTTTATTTCTTCATTACTCCATTTTGCAGTAAATTATGGAGTGGGGTTGGAGATGCTCTTAGGCGCCTTTTAGAGGGATTATTGTTTAGGCGGACACTTAGGCCGATTTTTTTGAATTGAACACTGTTTTGATATATTCATTTTGCTGTAACTTATATAGGAAGATGTGCGGCAACTCATGATTCTGGGAAAGCATAGCAAAGGATGCCACTGCAAGAAATCAGGATGCCTCAAAAAGTACTGCGAGTGTTACCAGGCGAATGTCCTGTGTTCAGAGAATTGTAGATGCCAAGATTGCAAGAACTTTGAAGGAAGCGAAGAGAGAAACACTCTTCTTCATGGACCTCAGGGCTCAGAGACTTACATACAACAACAGACGACCAACGCAGCTCTCAACAGGGCTGTCGCCACGTCTGGTTATCTTAACCCTCTTGAATCAAGAAAGAGAAAGAACAAGGAAGCAGCTAGAGGTTCACCTACGTATCCACACCTTATGAGGAATGGTGACACTTCTCTATTTTCAGTTCCTAACAACAGAGCGGTATCAGGACCTACCACATGTACTTACAGGTTGGTGATATCAACTCCTTCCTTTGTATGATGGATTTATCTAACTGATTACTTCTTCTATAGGTCTTCTCTGTCAAATACTATCCAGCCGCGTCATGTCAAAGACCTATGTGCGCTTTTGGTCTCAAGATCGGTGGATGTAGCAAATAAAAGGAGGACAAATGAGAAAGACCCTTCACTTGATTCAGCTCAGAGTGATGCTAATGAGACAAATGACTCTCCAGATTGTGTCCTTGACTCTACTAGGATGGAAGAGAAGCCCATGTCACCAGCAACACGTGCATTGATGTGTGATGATGAACATGTGATCATATCAGAGAAAGAGACATCTGCAGCCAGAGTGAAAGCAAGCCAAGAGAAAGAAGACGCAGACACAAGCTCGGAGACTTACTTAGAGCAAGAAAGATTGATCTTGTCGAGCTTCAGGGACTATCTCATTCAGTTCTCAAATCGTGGGAATATAAAAGGTAAGCTGATTTTTCGTCCATATCTTTGTTCAGAAACTTAGAGCTAGGAGATGTGCTAATTTAAGATATTGATTAAGCAGGAATGAATATCGAAACCAAGACAAATCAAAGTAGAAAAGAACCACCAGAAGATGAAGAGCAAAGGCATCAAAACTCAGGTTTAAGGTAATGCTTAAGGGACTTCTCTGACAAAACTTTAGCATCTAAACTCTTTTTAACATATGATCATGTAACATTGTTTAAAAAATTTATATAGGAAGATCAGATTAGATTAAATATATTTCCTGATTAATCAACAAAGCTCTTCTTTTTACTGTTACATTAGTGCTAACTAACAAGTAATAGATTTCATACATTGGTGGGGAGATTTTGAATTTTTGAGTAATTAGTGTTTACATGAATACAATTGTTACCTGATTTAATATCTTTCAGTTCATGTATATATTTTTTTTTGTTATATAGCCATTTTGATATATCATGAAGTTTGTTGTAAAAAGAATTAAGATGTTATTTTTTTAATAATCAAGAATTTGGAAGTGTGAATATTGGTGTATCAGTTCACAAGAGTTTGATTTGTCTTTTCAATTAATAAAGTGACAAAAACATCGACACTACTAGAGTACTCTCTGTCATCTCCTATTCTTTTCATCATTCTTTTAAAAATTCAGAAAGAAACTACGTAACAAACAAAGGAGATGTGACATAGCCTAACATGGACAAAAAAATTAAATTTTTAAAAATCAAGTGGGGTTTATTTTAAAACAAAACAAAATGTATTTAAAGTTCACCAAACACATGTAACAGATAACCACAAACAATCATCAAGAAGCAGATGTGTCACAGATTGTTTCTGCACGTGCATGCCGTTGGCATCAAAAACATCGTATCAAAACACAACACGGACTCTGTTTCTCACCTTTCACCAGAGGCTCAGAGCGATGGAAACGCTGACTAGCGAAACCGTTGACTTTAGATCGGAGTTTCTCCGTGTTCTTCGTAGTCGAAGATCACCAGAAGGTTTTACTTCTTAATGATTTTATTATTACTTTCAGCTATTTGTTTACTTCTCTCTGTTATGTAATAAACAAAATGGTTCTGATACATGTAAGGTTCTATTTACAATCTCATAATCACTGATTATCTTCTTTAACTGTTAAATTAAACTGAATTTAATCAGGATACAGTTTGCTTTTAATATTTATTCTGAGTATGAGTTTGCATATTTAATGAATGGGAACATTTTCAGTTCCATTGGTAGCTGAATGTTCAAAGCCAGTGGAAGATCCTGTGTTTCAAAATGGAGTTCCATCTACTGAAGTGAGATATTGCTTCCTTTTTTTCTACAAATCTTTATATTAATTCTCATTTTTCTTCTAAGTTAATCTGTTTTTTTTTTTTTGTTTCATTATCAAACCAGGCACTAGAGTCTTGTCCAAAGGAAAATATTAATAACTTAAAAGAGATGATTAAAGAGGAAAACCTTCATTTGCACACTGAGGTAAGTTTGTTTTATTACATTTTTTTTTGTGAATGTCTTATGAGAGTTAAAAAGTGTTTTTTTATGTAATGGAATAAGGCTGCAGAGCAAGGGAGATTACCTTTGCTTATCTTAAGCTTGAAGGAGAAGAAGAGTGAAGAAAGAAGACCAGCTATTGTGTTTATGCATGGCACAAACACAAACAAAGAGTGGTTAAGGCCATGGCTTGAAGTAAAATAGAAACATCTTAGCTTACACTTTTTGAGATAAACAGGTTCTTGTGTTGAGTACAACTTGGTTGCTTTTCTTCTTAAGGCATATGCTTCAAGGGGATATGTAGCCATTGGTTTAGACTCTCGCTACCATGGAGAAAGAGCTGGCTCCAAAACTGCCTACCAAGATGTAAACTCATTAGTTATTGATCTTTATTTAGTCTTTTGAGTTCTGAGATAGTGATTTTGGTGTATATTTCATTGCAGGCTCTTGTTTCATCTTGGAAAAATGGAGACACAATGCCTTTTATCTTTGATACTGTAAAAACACTGTCTCTATTCAGCTTGGTTACACTTTAGATTGTAAGTCTTTTTTTTATCGCATTTATCGATCTTTTTTGTTTGTTTTTCAGGTCTGGGATCTGATCAAACTAGCTGACTATCTTACTCAGAGAGAAGATATAGACCCAAAAAGGATAGGAATCACCGGTATCTCACTAGGAGGTCAGTCACAGAACAGACTGAGTACTAGGATTTGTAGTTTTTGGTGTTAATATATATACTAACTTTGTTCATTGTGAAAGCAAATACAGGGATGCATGCTTGGTTTGCTGCTGCAGCTGACACTCGCTATTCTGTGATTGTACCTTTAATTGGTGTTCAGGTGAAATATATTATCCATAGCAACATAACAACTACAAAACCTGTAACTGAGCTGTATGAGGATGGTTTCCTTGTTTTAGAAGACTATTCAAGTTTATAAAGTTGTGTATGTTGAGCAGGGTTTTAGATGGGCAATAGAAAATGATGAGTGGGAAGCAAGAGTCAACAGTATAAAGCCTTTATTTGAAGGTCAAAAGTTTTGAATAAACACAAAATATGAATCAAGATTCTAATTCCTTTACTTTAATGGATACAGAAGCAAGGATTGATATGGGAAAGAGTGAGATCGATAAAGAAGTGGTGGAGAAGGTAAATAAAGCATGACAGTAACTATGAGCTAACTCAAGAAGATTAGTTTGTGATTGTATTTAATGACTCAACAGGTGTGGAACAGAATAGCTCCTGGCCTAGCCTCTCAGTTTGATTCTCCCTACTCATTACCAGTGATTGCTCCACGGCCTCTTTACATCCTTAACGGTGAGCACAATCTAATCCTATGTATGCTAATTATCTACCAACACACAAAGAAAAAACTACTAACCTGATTTCATTTGCAGGAGCTAAGGATCCTCGCTGTCCTCTTGGTGGATTAGTTGCTCCTTTAGAAAGAGCTCACAAAGCTTATAAGGAAACTGCTTCTCCTGAAAACTTCAAGGTACATCATCACTAATCTAATCATGTAGTTATAATGCAACCAGAACAATGATCTGAAAAAGGTTTGTTTGGTTGGAGAGAGCAGTTTGTAGCAGAAGATGGAGTTGGACATGAAGTGACAAGCTTTATGATCAAAGAATCATCAGATTGGTTTGACAAGTTCCTCAAACAAAAAAACGTTACTTCTTATTAAAACTGTGGCACATGACCATAATGTAACAGTAATACAATTGTAAAACCAATAAACTCAATGTTCATAAGAAGAAAACATCTCCTTGTATCATCACCAACAAACCAATAAAGAAACTGTACAATAGATTTTATAAAACCATTCAGTTATAATGTACATACGGTAAAGAGTTCTCATAGTATCGACTCTTTAAAACAGAAGATCAGGTAAGAAAATACAAATCTCCAGCTTCAGACAAAAGCCAGTTTAGTCCCTTTTTCAGTTCAAGAACACTGTACAAGACTGCACAAACTGCCCACTAATCCCAAACTGACCTTGACACTGCTTCTGGTTCTGACATATAATCGGCACACGAGCTCCAAATTTACAAGCAGAAAGATTCATAGCCTTTGCAGTAGGAAGCTCACGTTTCCCAACAGGAATCTGCAAAAGACTAAACCCTCCTGAAGACTGTTTCTGATAGATCTTCTCCAACTTCTCAATATCTCTACACTTCAACGCATTGATAGCTTTGTTCGACTCATCACCAAGCCCCGCGACACGCCACGCTTCAGCTAACAGCACGAAAGTAGAGTTCTCAGGCTTCACACCAAACCCTTTCATCATCTGCAAAACCTCTTCAGCTTTCCACGGTTGCTTCACTTCCAAGTAACCCCACATCAAAGTCTCAAACGTCTTTATATTCGGCGAGACGTTGAACTCGCACATCTTGTTGAAAACCCTCATTGCATCCTCCATGCTTCCGATGCTGCACCATCCGCTGATCACTGTGGTGAAGATGACAACGTTGGGGCGGGATTCGACCATGGTTTCGAGAATCTCCTCGGCTTTTTGGGGCTCTTTGGCTCTTATGTAGCCTTTGGCTAAGATGCTGTAAGCGTGTGCGTCTGGTTTGACTCCTGCTTTGACCATTTGTTCGAAGACTTGTGCTGCTTTCTCCATGTATCCGGCTGAGCTCCATGCGTTCATCACGGTGCTGTAGGTGATTACATCTGCTTTCACCTTACACTCCTTCATCAAGGTAAGAACCTACAACATTCATACTTATTACTAGGCATAGGCACATTTATCCGGAATCGAAGAACTGAATAACCGAAATCAAAACCAAAACTGTCAAGAAACTTGTTTGTGTGAAAGGTTTCTTCTTATTCATCGTAGGTCAAGAACCTCATTATATACTCGTACAATGTTTCCTAAACAGAGGAAGAAGATATATACATTAACATATTTGAGATATGGCAAAGATATGCCAATAAATAGAATATATCTTCTTAACACCCCTCCTCAAGCTGGAGCATGCAGGTTACAAATGCCAAGCTTGCCAAGAAACTCTTCAAACTCTCTACTTCCAAGTGCTTTAGTAAAGATATCTGCCAACTGCTTCTTAGTGGAGACATAACGAGTAGCTATCGTGCCCTTCACAATTTCATCTCTCACAAAATGACAATCTGTTTCCACGTGCTTTGTTCTTTCATGGAAGACCGGATTAGTACTTATGTGAATCGCAGCCTTATTGTCACAATACAAAGAGATAGGACTCTTGAATTTTACCCCAAGAGACGTCAAGAGACCTCGTAACCACAGAATCTCCTTAAGCGTAAACGCCATAGCGCGATATTCTGATTCAGCGGAAGATAGAGAAACTGTCTTTTGTTTCTTCGTTTTCCAGGAGATAGGAGATCCTGCAAGCTGAATAAACCAACCAGTCAAGGATCGCCTTGTGAGAGGACACGCTGCCCAGTCAGCGTCACACCAGGCCGTTAAGGACAGATCATTATCAGCTCTCAGTAACACACCCTGACCAGGAGTACCTTTGAGATATTTCACCACACGCAGAGCTGCATTCCAGTGAGACACACGCGGTTTGTGCATAAACTGAGACAAAACATGTATTGAATATGACAAATCTGGCCTCGTGTTGCAGAGATAAATTAATTTTCCCACTAGCCTTCTATACGGAGCTGCATTGTCGAGGTGCTCACTGTTGTCAAGCGCTAATTTATGATTCTGCTCCAAAGGAAAATCGACTGGTTTTGCAGCAAGAAGACCAGTTTCCTTGAGTATATCCAGAACATATTTGCGTTGACACAGGTAGATACCGGTGGGACTTCTTGCAAGTTCAATTCCCAGAAAGTATTTAGATATTCCGAGATCCTTCATATGGAAACACTGACTGAGATAAGATTTGAAAGTGTTGATGACGGAAACTGTACTCCCTGAAATAATTAAGTCATCAACATACACTAGAACATGTAGTCGAGTAGCTCCATTCTCAAGCGTAAAAAGTGAGTAGTCTGACCGACTCTGCTCAAACCCGTAGTCCATTAAAGCTGATGTCAATTTCGCGAACCAGCACCTTGGTGCCTGCTTCAAACCGTACAGAGATTTCCGCAGGCGACAAACTTGATCTTTTTCTGTTCCTCGAAAACCAGGTGGCAAACGCATATACACTTCTTCTTTTAAATCTCCATGAAGAAACGCGTTGTGCACGTCCATCTGATGCACTTCCCAATTGAGTGATGCTGCAAGTTGCAAGAAACATCGAACCGTAGTCATTTTTGCAACTGGAGCAAAAGTCTCATCATAATCATCTCCTTCTACCTGTCTATTTCCGCAAACAACCAGACGTGCCTTATGACGTTCCAACGTACCATCCGCTCTAAACTTCAGCCGGAAAACCCATTTACATGCCAAGGCTTTCTTTCCCTTTGGCAATTTAACAATCTCCCAAGTATCACTATCCTCTAGTGCATCAATTTCATGTCTGACCGCAAGTCTCCAGTTTGCATCTTCCATTGCCTTTTGGAACGAAGTCGGCTCACACGCAATTGTGATAGACGCCAAAAACTGACAGTGATTAACGGAGAACACTGAACAATCTACGTAGTCTAAGATTGAGTATAGAGCAGAGGACGAGACAGCAACATCAGGAATAACTGTGTTCAAAACATAGTCTTGCAGTTTCAGAGGTAGTTGTTTGTTTCTATGACCACGACCCAAAATAACTTCTGGAGCAGTTTGTTCTGTTGCATGGTTATCGGGGATTGCAGAAGAGGAGGTTGCAGGCACTGTTTCTGTCGTCAATTCAGTTGAAGAAGTCTCATTTAATTCTTCTGCATCGTGACTATCTAGATCACCATTTGTGTTATCATGGTGAATATCTTCTTGCGGCTGCTCATCTAAACGTATATCTGCAGATGGGATAGCCGTGCTTGTTTCAACAATAGGATCTCCTGCTACATCAGGTAATGAAGAAGTCTTTTCAGCAAAATCATCATCCAAGGCCACAAGGTTTTCATTCTCACGATGCTGAAGCGAAGGAGCAATCGGGGTCGTTATTGTTGCTTGTTTCTCGAACGGAAACTCAGTTTCGAAGAAGACAACATCTCTTGAGAAAAAAATCCTTTTGGTCTCGAGGTTATATACGCGCCAGCCTTTCTTTCCGTTGGGATAGCCAAGAAAGACGCAACGTATGCTTCGAGAGTCAAACTTGTCTCCTTTATGAGATTGATTATGCGCAAAGCACAAACTACCAAATACTCGCAGATGTTGCAGAGGCGGAGGCCGTTCATGAAGCATTTCAAATGGGGTTTTTCCATTTAGCAAAGGTGTTGGGGTGCGATTAATCAAATACGCAGCAGTAAGAACACACTCCCCCCAGAACTCTATAGGAAGAAATCCCTGGAACCTCAGTGCACGAGCAATGTTTAGGAGATGCCTGTGCTTTCGTTCCACTCTTCCGTTTTGCTGCGGTGTACCAACACAAGAGGTTTCATGTAATATTCCCTTTTCATTAAAGAAGGTAGACATGCAGACAAATTCTGTTCCATTGTCGCTGCGTATAGTTTTAATGGTTTTCTCAAACTGTCTTTCTACGAGAGATATGAAGTTTCGAAGTGTTTGTGAGACTTCATGTTTTGTTGACAGCAAATATATCCAGACACTTCTCGTGTAGTCATCAATCAGAGTGAGAAAGTAGCGTGCACCGCTGTGAGATGGTGTGCGATATGGTCCCCATACATCGCAGTGTATCAAATCAAATGAATCCTTAGTTTTATTTGAACTTGTTGGAAACGAACAACGTGTCTGTTTAGCACGAACACAAATCTCACATGCTTTAGAATGCAAATCCTTACAACTAGATAAACCCAAATCTGGTAAAAAATCCAAAACTCTAGATGAGGGATGTCCCAAGCGTTGGTGCCACACATCTCGAGAAACTGACTCCACGTGATGCACTGCTCCTGCAAGCTCCATCCCTCCAAGAAAATACAGCCCATTCGAAACCTCAGCCACTCCAATCAGCGTCCTGGTAATGCGGTCCTGAATCAAGCAAATCTTATCAGTAATCTGAAACACGCTCTGCTGTTCTCTATTCAGTTGCGAAACAGAAATCAAGTGACACTTCAGTCCATCAACAAACAAAACATTCTGAAGAGTAAGCGTTGAACTCAGCACCACGGTTCCCTGCTTAGTAGCATAACTAAAGCGTCCATCAGGAAGCTTTATTTGCAGAGGCATTATCTCTCGTATATCAGACATCACGCCAAGCAAACAAGTCATATGATTTGTAGCCCCTGAATCAACTATCCAAGAGCATAAAGATGTACCTGAAAGTGGCGTTGTCGCTGAATGCTTCTTCTCATTAAGCAAAGAGACCAAGGTATGCCACTGCTCATCGTTAAGCCCAGTCAATCCAACACGATCAGCACCAGTTATCAAGTTCGCTGAAGGTGCATGCGTTGCAGCTAATGTCTGCATCGCATTCACTCGGGGATTCTCTGTAAGCTGGAGACGAGGTTGTGATCCACTTGATCCACGTCCAGCTCTTGTGTTTCCTCGACCCTTCGTTTGCTCAGTCCACCACTCAGGGTACCCATGTGTGCGAAAACACGCATCAGCCAAGTGTCCCTTCTTTCCACAAGTCGAACAAAGCATCTTTGCTTTCTCCTCACGCGAAGGGAATGCGCGATTGTTCCCAAAATTCGATCCAGTTCTCACCGCATATGCCATGTTATCCACCTTGTTATCATTGAGGACTCGTGAAGTATGTTTCGAGTCTTCATCTTGCAACACTGCACTGTATGCCTCATCTAGCGAGGGCAGCGGATCACGCGACAACAGGTTAGACTTCACTGCTCCATAAAGGGACTCGTCAAGCCCTTTCAAGAACTCATGAAGCTTATCCTCTTCACGTTCCTTTTCCAAACTCACTCCAATCTGACAGTTGCAGGTCTTGCTCTGCCTGAATTCAGACAAATCTGTCCAAAGCTTCGTCAATTTTCCATAGTAATCTTCAACGGAATCACCTTGCTGTCTACAGGTCGCGAGCTCCGCTTTAATCCGTTGAACTCTCTGCCCGTTCTTCACTGAGTAACGCCGACGTATGTGTTCCCAGTAATCACTTGCAACCTCTAGATGAGAGAGATTGGTTCGAACCTTCTCTGCTATCGTGAGTTTCATCCACGACAACACCAAAGCATTGTTGGTCCACCAGTCTTCCAAATCATCAGAATCTTCACTTGGCTTCGGAATTGAGCCATCCACAAAGCCAAACTTCTTCCTGGCTTTGAGTGCCATACGCAGATTTCCAGACCACTCGTTGTAGTTGGGTCCGTTAAGCAGCGGTTGTGAAATCACCGAACCCGGATTGTCACTTGAGGACAAATCATACGGTGAGATTGTTCGTCGCCGAACCTCAACGCGATTTCCTTCCTGCGCAGCTTTCACCATCGTTTTTCCACTTGTATCTTCACCGTTTCCGTCGTCGCTTCCCATCGCACAGAATTTTTTTTTTTTTTTTTTTTTTTTTTTTTTTTAAAAGAAGCCGATTGTTTGATTTTCAGAGATTCAGCAGTTTGATCGTATTACTGCTCTGATACCATGTCAAGAAACTTGTTTGTGTGAAAGGTTTCTTCTTATTCATCGTAGGTCAAGAACCTCATTATATACTCGTACAATGTTTCCTAAACAGAGGAAGAAGATATATACATTAACATATTTGAGATATGGCAAAGATATGCCAATAAATAGAATATATCTTCTTAACAAAAACCAAACTGCAATTTCATATATATATGGACAGATCCTATATCTTTAGAACCGAGAAACCGAACTAGAACCGAATAGAACCAGTATTTTAAAATACATGTTATATACCTAAAGTTTCAATTATTTTTAGTTTCTAAATATCCTTGAATACTATTTATAAACCGAATTACCCGAATATGTTTTACCTGAAATAATTAAAATTATCCAAATTATTTGATATTTTTATCCAAACAACACTAAGTACCCGATATTTAACCTGAAAACTCGAATTATCTGATGTTACTACCCATATTATTCGAAACTACCCAAAAAACCGGAACCGAGCCAGAACCGAACTGGACCCAATTTTTTTTTCCGGATATTAGCTAATTCCCAACTTTACTACCCGAACCAAAACCAAAATAACCCAACCAAAACCGAACCAAATTTTGTAAATAACTGAACGGTTCCTAAATTTATAGAAATACCCGAACTGAAAACCAAATGGCCACCATGCCTACTTAGTACCTACTCAACCTAACCAAACTCACATTAATGAAACTAAAATCAATAGTGTTGACTGTGAAGTTACCTCATCGATACCATCACGGTCCATGACCTCAACAAAGCCTTTAATCAAAGAATTAAACACCACAAGATTAGCTTCAACTCTCATCTCCTTCATCCTCCTCACAAACCTCAAACCATCTCTCACTCTCCCTTCTCTACAATACCCTCCCACCACAATCCCACACGTTCTTCCATTCGGTTTAGCCTTAACCATCTTCTCAACCACCTCTCTCTCACCTCTCTCCGTCTCCCCTCTCTGCACATAACAACTCGCAATCGTATTAAACGTCACCGTATCCGCCTCAACACCACACTCCTCCATCTTCTCCACCACTCTCCACGCCTCCTCCACCTTCTTCTTCTTACACCAAGCTTGCACAAGCACATTAAACGTCCTTATATTCGGCCTTACATCAACACTATCCTCCTCCAACATCAGTTCCAACAGCTCAGACGATCTCTCAGGCCTCCCTGCGATCCCATACCCTTTGATCAAAGTGTTGTAAGTACTCGTGGTCGGATTCAGACCAAGCCCTTTCATCTTCATCAACGCCTGCACTGCGTCTTCGACCTTACCGGACTCGGAGTAAGCGTTGATCACCGCGTTGAAGAAGATGGAGTCAGGCTTTGTCCCGCTCTGTTCAACTTCAGAGACTATGGAGCTTATGGAACCGTACTGCTTCTGTACCGTCATTGCAGCTAAGAGAGTTGTGTAAGTGATCAAAGACGGTCTGTGTCCTGTCTCCGACAAGGTTTTGAAAAGGGTCTGCGCCTCGTGAGGTCGTCCACGTTCTATTAGAATGTTCATTAGCTTGGTTCTTGACCTCACTGTCCTGCAACTGGTTCCTTCGTTACATGACTTGCAACGGTACTGATACTCTCCGGTTGTCTGCAAAAAAAGACAAAAGCAAGTGTTCAAAATCAGACCAAACTAAAAGAACTCAAAATCAAGTAACTAAAGCCATGGATTCGTGAGATTGTTACCTTGACAAGAACGGATCTTTGAGGTTCAGACATAACAGGAGGGTTCTTGTCCTTGAAATCTTCCATGTTTTGTCGGGAAAGAATCTGTCTTTGCAAATGAAAACAATGTAATCTCAAATTAAAAAAGGCTTTGCTAGTGAAACTAAGTAAGAAAGTTTCACCTGACTTTCACTTGGCGAGTCCATGGGAGAGAGAGGAGAGAGGTCTCAATGCAGACACAGAGATGGGTTCCATAGAAAAAAAGGAAAATATATTTTATTTATTTAATTAATTCTGATGAGGAAGACAATGAAACTAGATAAGGAAACTAAAAGACAATAAATTTTTGAGAATTTTTGTTTTCTGTCCACATATTTTTTTCATTTTTTATTGTATTTTATCGTTAATAAAAGGTCGTAAATAAAAGCGTTAATTTGCTCAAATACTAGCCCATCGTTAATTCAAAAAAGGGCCTATACAGGCCCATACCAGCCCATCATTAGATGGACAGCATTTCGTTTCATAAATAACGTCACGACGTTCGTCACTGAAAACGTTAAACGTCAAAGATAATCCATTTCAAAGCAGTAAAGATATATGTTTTATTCCAAAACCATAAATGATAAATCTTCTTGCAAGGCAAGTATCAACTCTTGAATCCTTGATGTATTTTTAGAAATGAAGTTTCACTTTCTCAGTTTTCATCTGATGTATACTATTCAAGAACTTGTAAGGCAGCATTGAATATTTAAATACCATCACACATGTATGTTTTTGTCGAATTGCCTTAAAAGAAAAAGGATTTTCAACACTTTATCCAGATGATCAATAAAATCTATCTATTCCTGAGTATACATCTTGTTATTACTGATGTTTCTTGTTTTGCCATTCACAGAATCACTTGAGATTGCATTTTTGAGTTGAGTACACACGAATCATTCTTTAGTTATTATTGAAACATTAGTGGATGTATCAACAAGCGGGGATAGCTCAGTTGGGAGAGCGTCAGACTGAAGATCTGAAGGTCGCGTGTTCGATCCACGCTCACCGCATAAATTTTTTTTTTTTAAAGTTCAAAGAACATGTTCACCCTTATATAGTCTCCAGAACATGGCAACTAGACCACTTCAATCTTTCAAACACAAAAAGTTATCTCTTTAACTTTTAATGAAATACTAGATTTTTGACCCGCGTTTTAAAAGCGCGGGTATAATTTTACTATTTTGATCAAATTTGATTGATTTTATAAATTTTATTAAAATAAATACTTTTAAGTTTATTATATTAGTGTTTCCAATTTATTCTACTATATTTAATTTCCAGGAAATGTTTTTATACCCGACTCAGATTGTAGTTGAACTGATAGATCCGGTGACCAGTGTTTGATCCGGTTCAGATTTAATAAAAAAAATTAGTTAAAAATTAGATAAAACCTTGAAAAATCCAAAACCCGCTATCAACCCATGATCTGATATCAGATGATTCGCTGAAAACAAAAAAAAAATGATTTTTTTATTAAATAACTCATACATTTTGATATTATATAAGGCTGAAATTTGTAATATTTTATACTTTGACGAATTTTTTATTAAGTCATTTGAAAAAATAAAATAATGGTAATAAAAAGTAAAATTTATTGATATGACAATATTAATTTCTTTTCATTTTAATAACTTATGAAATTTATTTTTGTTTATTTCAGATATAAAATTTAATTTTATAATAAATTTTATAATATTTTTGAAAATTAAAAATGTAAAAAATGAACATGGTAAATAATATTTTTAATTTTCCTATATATATATATATATATATATATATATTCAAATTTTATTGTTAAATAATACTAAGCATGAAAAATAATATTCAAATTAAATGAAATCTATTATTTACATAAAGTTAGAATTAATCTTATTTACAAATTATGGATAGTATTAGTTACCAAAAATTTAGGAAAATTTCTGTTGTTTAGTTTAAATAAATAATATATATATTAAAATTAAATGTCAGTGGCATAGTAATGTAAATCATTTGAAAAAAGTAAGGGCATAATCCTAGTAGGAATTATGCTTTAATAGTATAAATTTACTTGATTAATTTACATTTGGATATGATTTTTTCAAACTTGGTTTAAATATGATATGTTATTGATTTTTATAATGAAACTCAGTTTGAAAAACTAAATGGTGGTAGTCTACTAGTAATCTTTTGGGACTTAGTATACCTACATCTAGGTTCGATTCTCCTTGAGAACTATATTATCATTATTTGGTTAGTATGGTTTTGAAATTCGACCCAGACAATTTATATGGTAGGCCGTAACAGATGATTGATTCATCTTCTAGCATTATTCGAAAAATATTCTAAAGTCAGACCATGCAATGTGATATGTTTTTAGACTAGTTCACTCTATATATTGCATTAAGTGTGTTCCTTCCATAACTGACCATATCAGTTAGGATTTATCAAGAAAAAAAAATGGTTTCAAATAGGTTACAAACAATATCATATCTAGTGGGTTGAAGGAGACTAACATCTCTTACACGTCAAGGATCTAAAATAGGTTTATATGGAATATAAATCAATACATATTGGTTAATTCTGAGCACAGCCATGAACATCAAATCTTTAAGATTTAACTTCTTCCAGTGTCTAAACATTTAACATTTAGAGAAAGATACGAAATAGGCTTACAAACGTGCAAACAATGTAATATTCTATTCGACTCCATCAAACGAGAGCTAATCTTATCAACGGTCTAAGAATTCAAATGTATTTAGACATTTAGAAAAATCTATAAAAAAAAATAAAAAGATTCTTTAAAGTTTCCAAATGGAGGATGAGTGTGATCTGGTAGTCACCCACCACTTAGCAATACATAATCGGTTGATTAAAACAAAACAAAAAATAATAATAAACGTACACATAATCGTAATCCGTCTAGTCTCGCATATATACATACCTAATGGGACTACATTTGGCAAGAGCAGAATGGGTGGTCTCTTAATCCCCCCAACGATACGACGCTCCAAGATTTGTAAAATGCAGAACAACTAATATGTACGTGTAACCATGAACCATCATCTCTGTTACTTTGAAAAATTATTTACAATTTATTATATCCATTGACATCACACTACACTAATATATTTTCCCTTTGACAAGACGCTGACTATTGTTTAAGGACGTGGATATTCATTGCCGTACATGCAGACGTAGGACTTTTGACACATCATCTTCTACTATGAACTATTTATGCTAAGTCCTCCAATCAAATTATCTATTTGTAATCCAATGTTAATTTTCGAGAATGTACGTACGTCCATGTATATTCATGTATCTTAATTGATATTGGGTGAATGACCATTTTTCGCCTTCATCACATTAGTATATGGAAGGTTGGAATATTTAAACATTTTTCTATAGGAAGAAGTTTGAAAAAAAAAGAGAGAGACAAATGTTTTCTTAGTAATATGATTTGTAGTTATAGATCGATATTCGTTTGTTGTGGCCGTAAATAAATAGTTTTCTTTTTAGCTACAAGATTATGAATTAAGATCTAACTATTTTTTAAGGTGAATGTAACAATGACTTTATCAAATTTTCTAATTGGTTTGAAGCAGGACGCCATCTTAATTGATCAATAATGTTTACAGTTTATATCAATCAAACTTAGAGGGTATTGCATATTTCAAACATGGTTTCTAGATAATTAGTATGGTTGTAAATACTTTTATCTAGATTTATAATGTTGGTGGCTTTAAAACAAAAGAAATTGGCATATATCTATGCCGATATTATAATATCACTGAATGTTGTTCACCGTTCTTTGTTTACATTTAAGTTTGTTTTGTTCTAAGAAGGGCATGTCTTAATCCAATAGATTCAGCATTATGTGCTTGCATACCTGATGGAACATAAAGCGTAAAGGAGATTGTGTTTGCTCATTATATTTAGAAAATTTTTGCAAAAATAATCCCTCTTAGTTCTGAATATGCAGAAATGGTTCCTTTTTCAATATTCATTGATAAAATCAACTCTCAGATTATGTTGGTGTCATTGTTTGTCATGCTTTGGTGAAATCTGTTTCTGACTTTCAAAATTATAGTTAAGAACTACTCAAAACTTACAAAAGATTCAGAAAGTTTTAATTTTTAAACATGTATGGAATATTTTTAGGCAGTACATGTCAGAAGTAGTATCAAGAGTTTTACTTCTTCCGTTCAAAACAAAAGGGTTTGATTTCTTATATGTATCAAATAGCTTTCATAGACCCATCTATCTTTACATTCTAAAGAAATTTGGTGAACAAATACTCTGTTTAGAATATAATAATATTCATGAAATATATTAAAAATACAAAGTCTTACACGAAACTTTTTTCCTATAATGCATACTACATAAGGAAAAACATTAAGATAAATGATCTAAGTAATTTTTAAAACAGCAAAAACAAATACATAACAACAAAAATTGATCATAGAAAATCATTAATAACTTTAGTATGAAATATTTATCATGATTTAGGAATAAACAAAGAGTTACCGCAAAATATGTAAATTTTATATAGGGTATTTGTATGGTAATACATCATAATAAGCTATGGGATAAGATATTAATTCTTTCATTTTTTAACTTAAGAACTAAATTTTTATTTTCTGCTAAGTAATGAAATGGATACTTTTATGATTTTTAAAAACTTTACGAAGCAAGTATTCACATAAATTAACAATCTTGCGGGAGCCACGCATCGCTAGTTGAGCATTATATGGCTTTTATCAGGAAGAGAAGTTGGGATGTATTAAAACTATAAATACTAATTGGGTAAGACATTTGTTTGTTATCTCAGAATTTTTTGTTGGTGCATTGCCTGCTTTAATTTGCCTTTTCCTAGCGAGCTTTGATTTTTATTCTAATGCATAAAATGATTAAAAATATATATAACTTGTAGAATGATAATGTTATATATTTTCCCTTCCAAAGATTCTGAGCATCTTTCAATTATAATTGTTCAATACTTTCATGAGATGATAAAGGAAATTTCCACCAGTCTTGTATATAACAAGCAGCGTTTTTAAAGCGTTTAAGACAATCAGCAAAAGGTGAGTTCAATTTGATTTGTATTTGTCGTTTTCTCAAGTAAATCACAGTATTGTTATTTATTGCGTTGAAAATTGCCATATTTTAGCTTCTTTCTCGTAATTACCTTACAAGTTTAATTATAACTAATGGTAGCTGTATATTTCTGTATATATGATTATAAATTATGATATTGCATACAAGTATCTACTATCTACTACCACAAACTTATCTTACAATTAAGTTTTTAGTTAAGCATGTAAGTTCTATCATCATGATATAATCCCAACCTTTGCTTTCTTCTTTCTCACAACCCCCACTTAAACTTATAATCATTAGACAGATTGGGTAATTATTAGCTACCCCATTGCTATTAGAAAACTTAGCAAGATTAATTATTCATTACTTTGTTTTTCCTTTTCTTTATCATATTTTAAGTAAAGCAAATGAGCCGGCCAGTGTGAAATTCCCTTTAAATATCGTTTTAAATAGCCAGAAGTCATTCTTCTTCACGAGTGTCTCGTGAGCTGAGAAGAAGAAACTAAAAAGTGGGGGATAAAAGGGATATTATTAGATAAGTGGAGCTGAGTGGGCTTGTGATTACCGATAGATCCTTCTTAATTGTATTTGTATTTTTATAAGCAGTTGTTGATTGAGTATATCAGAAAATGCAGTTTAGTGGCTCGTAAAATTGTTGCCATTATTTAAATTTAATCAGCACAATCACAATGCATCTTATTGACCAGAAAATGTTAAATGACCTAGCAAGAGATTAATAGTCAAGTTTACAAGATCAAATTTGACGAAACTCTTTTCATTCTGCTGAATTTCTTTTTTTTTTTGTTGGAGGTTCTCTTTTTTTTTTTTTGTTCATTCTACCATTTCCGTGATTCATTCAACAAATAATATCATATAGTTGGAGCGAGACTTAAGAATTTCTTCCCTATTTTTTTTAGGGTTACTAAAGTTAAACATAGCAGCACTTTAGTGTAGTTTTATGACACTCTGAACGCATAAGTAAATTTTAAAAGAAGACGGTTTAGACTTGTGCGTAAAGAGAGTTATATAAAAAGAGTTCTAACGCCTAGGCTACACTATAGGCACTAGAAAGCCTACTAACGTCTCTCCTTTTTACTTTTTATTGATCTCACACTTAAACTCAGTTCCCATGGCCTTTTCAGCTTTGACTAAATTATATTCAGTGAATGTACTAGTTAATCTTTGATTAAATAATATATTTAATTTTATTAAAAAGTTATAGGACTGAGTAAAATTATAGTTTTAGTTAAACCTCGCGCATTATGTATATATTAGTGTAGTATATTTATAATAAACACATGGTATATATTGTAGGTTAATTACTAGGTTAGGTTTCTACTTACTAGATTCAATCATTTGACTTACGTTTACGCTCACAGTGGACAATTAAACAAAATGGATTAGGTGGTATTTGTCTTAGCTTGGGATGTTTACTCCACTCGTATCTCCATCCAATGGAGTCTCTCAATTTCTCATTATGACATCTGAAATGACGAAAATTTTGCAACTATATATATAATCGAAGGCCAAAGAGAAAACCCATTGAAATAACAAAAGGGCATGCCAAGAGGGTTAGAACTGTGGTGTGACTTTGTATAAAATTGGTATCCTTTAGAATACCTTAACCAACCAATTAGTCGGCATGCATTATTACCAAATTGTATTCTCGTGCAGCTGATGTGGCGTTATTTAGCTCTGCAGAACTTCACTATAATTAATACTCCCTCCGTTCCATAATATAAGATGTTCTAGAGAAAATTGATATTTCAAAATATAAGATGTTTTGATATTTTTAAAATACTTTGACTTTATAGAAAACCGGTTGATCAATAGTATTTTAGTTTATTATTTTATGATTAATTAATTTATTTTAAATTTATACTATCAATGATGTTATCTTTTAAAAAGTTAAATTTCTTAATTCTTGTATTTTTGATAAAACATCCTATATTGTGGAACGGAAGGAGTATATAGAAATGGGAAACGTCTTTCATATTGCCGCATGAGTTCAGAATCATGTATATGTATAAACATTTTTTATGTCTGGTGTTTCCTTAATTACAATTGGTTAATATATCAGAATATTATACTAGCTTGTAGCCGATTCTACCCTAATGGGTAAACTGACCATGATTAATACGTATTGGAATAACCAGTATTTTCATCCACATCAAATTTTCAGAGTTTCTAAATATAAAATATATTTTTTAAATGTATCAATCCAGAAAACAGGTATGAGTTTTAGTTCTCATGAATATTTCAGAGAAGTTGGATTTTTTTCCCTATATGTTTAAGTTTTTAGTTATGAGATATGTACATGACAACATCTCAATGGAAAATCTAATACTTTGGATACTTAAAGCTTCTTTATCAATAGTATCTTAATGGCTTTTAAAAAAAAAACTTAATTAATAATATAATATCTCAAATAATTAAAATGGTATGAAAAGGTATCTCAAAAAATCTTATTAAGTGAAATTTTCAAATTTCAAGATACTTATATATTATTGTTATTAACTCATTTAAAATACCATTTATGAGATGAGATGCTTTTGATTATATAAATATTGAGTATCCATCAATCACGGTACTAAAATAACTTCATGACTTTTTACTAATTTATTATAGTTGTACAAATTTTTTATTCTCCTAAAAGACAATTGATGCATCCATTTAAATATTTATATTGATATTATTAATCTTTTATTTTTTCAGAAAAATATTAATCGTATATACCGTGCGCTATACAATGTTTTTATACTAATAATTTCTGATACTGTTACTCATGATTAATCACTCATCAACCACCTTAGACTTATTATTATTTAAACAAAAGCTTAAAAACAAAGCAAAAACTCACTTGACATATAATCTAAAAGAAACTGTTATAATAATGCCCATATACACCCAATAAAAGCTTGGCAATTAAAATGACTATTGAGGAGGGCGAAAAAGAATGTATATAAAACGGTACTATTTAGGAATCAAACTCATGAAGTACAAAGTTGCAGGATGTACGATCTACGTGGCTGACGAATCACAACACTTCGTCGATACTAAGTTACTACACTATATAGTTCATCAAAGAAAATTTGCATAACACTATCGAAGATAATATGGCTAATTAAGAAAATAATAATGAAAGGTTTTGGCATGAAGTTCAAAAAAGAAACAAAAGAGGTTAGAACATATTTTATACTCTGCATGATTTTAATTTTTTTTTGAAAAGGCATGACTCAAATACTGCGGATGATTAGTTTTCCATATAGATATTTAATTTTCAGATGGGTTTTATAAAAGTGTGTGATTTATTTTCGTTTCTAAAAACTCGTATTTCAAAGCAATTTAATGAAACTTTCATAGTTGTTCTAGTGAGTGTTTTTAAATAACAGATAAAAAAACTTGTAAACTGTTTATCTAGTATTGAGAAATTTATATTCCTCCCAAAACCATAAACAAATTCATGATATAAAAAAGGAGAGAAGCAGTTAATGGGTTAACCGACCACATATTGAAAATGCTGTGAAGTACAGCTTTATTAATAGTCCTGATAATTTGTAGGTTAGCCGGCTATTGTATATGTTGTTGGCTAGATTTTCTTTCTTGAGATCAGTTGAATATGTTCATTGTACGTAGAAGCTAAGATTGTTAAATGTAGAACTATTAATTATACTTTGTTAATGCCATATAATGAAAAATGATGTAATAGACACACAAAAATATAAGTACTCTTTACAGTATATTAAACTCATATTTTTTTTGTGGAGACACTGAGTGATCATACGACAATCAAAAGAATACTTACATGAATCTTTGAGATTTCCATGAGGTAAAGAGTCAAAAAGTGTAGTGGCACACAAAAATCTCATAGGTAGGCAGAAAAAAAAAAAAGAACTCCATTAAATATATGAACCCCTATAAATTTAAACATTTTAAGCACATATATATATACACACATATTAGAGATAGTCACATCACAACTAACATATATCATCCTCCGGTTACTACTCTCAGCAAAACACAAATTAACGATAATCTCTCACTCTCTTTACTCATTCTTCTTTATTTGGATAAGATCTCTATCTCTCCCTCGTTTTCAGCAGTGTCAATCCAAACCCTAACCTCTTTGATTCCGATCACAGAATATTATTTATTCTCTTCAAGAAACCAATTATAAATATTTTGACAAATCACTTTTTTCACCATCCCTCTTTTTTTTTTTCATTCTTACTCCACGCCATAAATGTCAAATTGTTCGATTTGTCTTTTGCCCTTAATTACTGTCAACACCACCATCACTTCTATACTTCTCGTATTCTCTTAAGAATACGTATTTAATTAAATACATTACAAATACACACACCAAACCCTTATAAAAGCAAGAGAGAAGTGATTCTTGGTTTACCTTTCTTGATATATGGATTCATGTTGGAAGAGAGAGATGGAAGGTAAACTAGCACATGACTCCTTGACCCACCACGGTAAGATCACACCACCGCACCACCGCATCTCCGTCGTCACCGGACCGGTGATCGTAGGGGCCGGACCTTCGGGCCTAGCGACGGCCGCTTGTCTAAAAGAGAAAGGAATCACTTCGGTACTACTCGAGAGATCAAACTGCATAGCTTCACTATGGCAGCTCAAGACATACGACCGGCTCCATCTCCACCTTCCTAAGCAATTCTGTGAACTTCCGCTTATACCCTTTCCCGACCACTTCCCTACTTATCCGACAAAACAGCAGTTCATCGAGTACCTCGAGGACTACGCCGATAGGTTCGATATAAAGCCGGAGTTTGGTCAGACGGTTGAGTCGGCTGAGTTTGATGAGAGTCTTGGCATGTGGCGCGTGACGAGCGTGGGTGAAGAGGGCACGACGGAGTATGTTTGCCGGTGGTTGGTGGCTGCGACGGGGGAGAATGCTGAGCCGGTGGTCCCTAGGTTTGAGGGGATGGAGAAGTTTGAGGCCACCGGGGTGGTTAAGCACACGAGTCACTATAAGAGCGGGAGAGAGTTCGCCGGAAAAAGGGTTTTGGTGGTCGGATGTGGAAACTCCGGCATGGAGGTTTGTTTGGATCTTTGCAACTTCGATGCTCAGCCTTCTCTTGTTGTCAGAGACGCTGTGAGTCTCTTTTTCTTTTTCTTGTTTTACGAAAAATAAAGTAGTTTGGAGATTAAATTAACTTTATATTATGCGTTTTCGATATTTTTTTTGTTTGGCTCTTTCATGTTTTGTATAGTTTTTCTATGCTAAAAACAAATAAAAATGTTTTTTTTTTCCTTCTGAATCAAGTTGATCTTCTGATATTATCAAGTTTTTTTTTTTAACTCAAGATATTACCTACTTTGTTAAACATTTTTCTTCTAATATTTTACAATTTTTAGGATTGCTTGTTTTGTGATGTTCTAGTTATATAGTCAAATATTTGAAAATTTTTACAAAAAAAATCTACTCTTCTTATCAATTTAATGGTTTTAACAAGATTGTATTATTACTTAACAGTATATATATATGTGTGTGTGTGTGTGTGTGTTTCATTGTAATATTTTCATAAATAACTCAAAATTTTATATAAATAAAGACAATTCAATCATATTCTTTAATTTACTAGCTGATCAGAATATTATTTTTTTTAAATAATTTAATTTTTGCTTTTCAGTTTGATAATATTCATATGTTATTTTTATTAATCTGTTTTAAATTATAAAATTCATCCTAATTTAAGATTTTATTCACTCTATTAGGCCTTGTGACTTCAAGTTCCAACAATGTTGTTAACAGTTTTTATGAATAAAGTTTACCTAATTTCTTTAATACGGAAATGTATTTTTATAATTTTTTGGAGAATGAAAACTCTCAGAACACAAACTTTATTGGGATTATCGCAAGCATGCGCAAACATTCTCACAAAAAAATAACATATTCTCTTAACTTTTTCAAAAAAAAAACATATTTTCTCATTCAAAATTATAAATGCATATTTGCTAATTATGTTTCTTTTTAACTGGTGAAGGTGCACGTCCTACCACGAGAGATGTTGGGTACTTCGACTTTTGGGCTGTCCATGTTGTTACTCAAATGGTTACCCATCCGACTCGTTGACCGTTTCCTCTTGGCTGTTTCCCGGTTTATCCTCGGAGATACCACCCTGTTAGGTCTGAACCGTCCCCGGTTAGGCCCATTAGAACTCAAAAATCGCACCGGTAAAACTCCGGTTCTCGACGTCGGGACGCTTGCTAAGATCACAACCGGAGATATCAAGGTACTGTATATATCTCAATCAAACATGGTACTTATATTTCATGTATATGCTAATAATGAACCCGTTTACTGAATTTGATAATATCAATAGGTGTGTTCCGGGATAAGAAGGTTAAAACAACATGAAGTTGAGTTCGATGATGGTAAAACGGAGAGATTTGACGCCATAATATTGGCAACTGGCTATAAAAGCAACGTACCCTCTTGGCTAAAGGTAATAATGATAATATAGTTATTTTCATCTTTTGTCCACTTTGCTAAAAACATCATTAAATGGGTTTTGAACTTTTAATAAACAAATTATTATTCTGCAGGAGAATAAAATGTTTAGTAAGAAAGATGGATTCCCAATACAAGAGTTTCCAGAGGGATGGAGAGGAGAATGTGGACTTTATGCAGTCGGATTCACAAAACGTGGAATTTTTGGAGCATCATTGGATGCAAAGAAAATAGCTCAAGACATATATGAGTGTTCAAGAAAATCATATCAAGCACATAGACATATACAAGTGTTCATGTCAAGAAAACCTGGTCATCCCTATAGTAGATTACTAGACGGTTGAGAAATGAAAGGTTTCTATCAAGAAACAACATAACTTGAGGTTTTGAGATACAAGGGGAGAGTTGAGGAGTAAAGTAAATTAAGACTTATCACCAGCTGCAATGCTTTTGGTGGGAATTGATGATCATCTGCTCAAAGGAGAGGAGGGGACCCTCTCTCTTTGCATGCTTATAACCCACTTTGTAAATCTTTTTTTACACCTTCTTTCTATGTTTCTATTTTTTTTTTTAGTTTTAGTTAGTTAGGTATGCTCTTTGTTTTGCTTCCCTTTTTTCACTTCAGTTTTTGCCAGAGTATTGTAGTAAGTTATTTTTTGTTATATACATAGTATTTGTTTAACTAAAATCTTGAAGGACCTGAGTGATTGAACTGTAAAAAAATAATAATAAAGCTTAGAAAAAATTGTCCATTGAAATTTCGTTGTCGAAATGATTTCATTCCCTAGTAGAAGTATCATATAAATATGGACCACTGCTTGTACATTCGTCAGAAATTAAGTACTGTACATTTATAATTCTTCTGACTCTTTTTCCAATTATTGCTAGAAGTACGGCCTCCACATGATTTCTTGTCATATTATTTTTCAAATTAAACTAGCTATAAATCTATCCTAGATCTCATGTCAGATAGTTTCGGTTTAGATTTCATTCCATCATGCATTTGTTATCTTGGCCGCATTAACAGGACCTTTAAAATTCGATGGGAATTGATAAAAATGGTATATGTCATCGAAACCAATACTGTTTTTTTCTTTGTGAATCAGTGGAAGATCTCCGCCAAAAAAGCTAGCCCCCTATGATTCTTTGGTGGCTATGTGCTGTGAGATTCTGCGGAAAGAACAAATATATATTCATCAAAATCAGCAAAGCTATATTGCGGAACGAAATATTTTAGGGAGGCAAAATAAAATTACCATTTCATGCAGTTAGCGACATCAAACAGATTAGTTATAGGCAAGTGATGAATGTCCGTAACCCGACGTTCATATTTCTAAAGCCAGTTAGTATACATTGTATTCATTGACATCTTTAAAAATTAAATATAAATCATCTGAAATTGTTACTTTCTGCAAACTACGAAGATATGGATAGTATCAAAGTGGAGAGAACAACTAAATAACTCGAATAACCTTACAGCCAAATCCTTATTTTAATAAGACTCTGCATGGCAATCCGATTAGGTTGTGATTCGATCACAATAGTCTACGGACCATTTTTCATGTGGTTGACCTTATAAGTCAAGTGGCTGACCTTAAAGTCATGTGATTAGAGAATGTACACTGAACTTTTAACCATGTGGGTTTTATTGTTTTTGTCATCTATGAATGTTTTACTGCTGTCTGCTGGCCGCGGTAACTTGTTCAAATCTAGACAAAATTGTGTTTCATTCATATATATATATATATACCATTAGTGTTCTAGCTAAAGCTTTAATGCAATACGTAAAATAAAACAATAAACTCTGGCAAACACAAGGGAAAGGGAAAAAGGGAACAAGGATCTTACAGAAATTTACTTTTGTAAAAGGCACATAAGTAACAAGCTGGAGCCCTACACTTTTGCCAAGCTGTTGGGGAAAATTTAGGAAACAATATCAGATATTTAGATACCAAATCAAATCTTTCAATTTTATTTTTTTGTCAACATCAAATCTTCAATTTGAAACATTACTTTTTATTTCAATTAAAACTTTGGTGAAGTAATTAGTAGTGGCTGGCTCCAAGTAGGCAAACAGATTTGATATATCCTTACAGTTCCTAGTCCCACATTCTTAACATAAGAAGCACTTGCTTCTTTCAAATCATGTTTCTGCTTTTTTTCTGAAGCTCCTTTTCTTTATTTTTGACTTTTTTAGGTTGTGCTTTTTCTTGGCTCTGAATTAAATAGTTGGCTTGTCAACTAAATTGTGTTGGAAAGTGGTGCTCTTCGACAATAAACGGTATAGATGGTTGCGTCCACATATCTTATACATAAATGACTGAGAAAATCAGAATAAAGATTTTCATGCCTTGTACAAATGAGGTACTATGTTGCGACTACCAACAAAAAAACATATATGCTCTCAGGAAAGTATTTGTTATTTTAAAATTCATATTGATTAACGCAATGATGATGACTGCTGATTAATAGTGGACGTATCTTTGTTTCTTTATTAAGTAACCGAAAAAACTAAGGTTTGATATATAGTTTTCAAATGTTTTATCCGTGGTTATGGTCTCTGAGGTGATATGTAATACTTTGATATACTAATAGCTAAGGTATTAGTTTTTTACGAATTGCAAATTTTTTCCGTTATTAGTAATGTCTTGGGGTTTTGAATTGCATTGTTCGACCATGTTAATATTTAAATATCCATTTAAAATAATACTTCCATTTTTAATTTCTCTAACATTAAATTGTCAAGGACATTGGCACGGAAGGCTCACCATACCTGCATTTTCATGGCCATACATTAGCCATTTTCATTCATTTATAGTTTACTGCACGCTTTAAATTTCATTCGGAAAGTCGACCTGTTAAATAGATACTTAAATTTTGAGTACAGTCTACTATTCAATGCATAAATGTAACACTAAGCCCTTTATCAAAAAAATAAAAATAAATAAATAAATGTAACACTCGTATTAACTGACCACACCATCTTTTCTTTTAACGGGCTTCAAGTTATACCATCCTTTAGACCCAAAAAATTACACAATCCTAAATTTTAAAATAATTATATGTTTTTGCCTCAAATATTTTATGCCCTCACGTCACTGAATTTGGGGTCATTAGGATCTTATGCGTCCATCAGCAAAGACTATGCTTTAAAATGATAAAACCCATAGCATACGCTAGAACATATAGTATTAGTGACAATTGTGAAATGTGGTCCATACGAGAGTCTGATAAGTGCATATATTCTTCTCAACAAGGGAAGTGATCTCGTTGGACGAAGCAGACGCTGTCTTCGAACATTTGGCACTCATGGGTCCTGATTCTCTCTAAACCATCCGATTCCAGAAGCTTTAACTCCCAATGGTCCTTCGCACTTATTATCTTAACGGTCTCAAATGGACCATTATTTCAGTTTTTTTTTGTCCATTAATGTGTTTGATAAACCTAATTAGAATGGAAAAGAAAGATCCAACGTCGGTAAGACTCGCAGTCAAACGTGATTGGTCCTATCATCCCGCGGTTATGGATCGTTGAAGCTTTGATTGATCAATTATTAAAAAGAGTAATCTCAGGTTTTCAATATCTGTCAAAAGATTTGATTGATAATTAATCATGAGGATTTTAACTAAGGGTGAGCGTTCGGGTATCCATTCAGGATCGGTTTGGATCTATTCGGTATCGGATTTTCGGATTCACAAATTTTAACCCCATTAAGATATTTATGAATTTTGGTTCGGGTTCGGTTCGGATCATTTCGAGTTGGGAAAATTCATTTAAATTATTTTTAAAATTTTAAAGTTGATTATATACTTTAAATTTCTAAAAATCTATAAACAAAATAATATATTACAAATAATTGAATACCATAAGTCAAAATACCTAAAATTAACATATACATCGGGCTCGGTTCGAGTTGTCGGATCCGGATTTTTGGCCCAACCCTAATTTTAACTAATAGATACACCAAACTTTACCAATATTTGTGTTTTCCTTTTTTTCTTAAAAAAGAACTGATATTCTTTTAATGAAACTCGTACTAATTTCAGTAGTCTTTGCACCAAATATCAGTGTTATTCAAATGAGATTCATTTTCAATCTCAGTCGTTGGCCAACAAAAAAATGTGATGTGATGAAAGTTACACTCAAAGATAATAATAAATTAATAACAAGAAGAAAACAATCAACGGTTGTTGCCTTGCATCTTTTCATCTATTTCCAATCAATGTACAATCAGCATCAGTTCATGTACTCTCTAAAAGAAACCACAATATAACAACAGGTGTAGCTCATTACCTAGTAATCAAAACAAAAAGCATGATATGAGAGGTCGTATGTAAATGTAATCCTGCCCCCGTTCTTGTTATTTTACGCCTTTCACATACTGAATCTTAAAAAAAAATGAGTTAGCTATTACGATTTAGCACATTTTTGTATTATTCACATTCATTTTCAACAATATTAAGTTATTAATACAATTAGAGCAAAATATCTAATCCTAGAATTTTTTTTCCATCGTTTCTGATTTCTCACCTGGCAACTTAAGCTTCTTTGTTGTTATTTTTCTTCTCAGCTTGCTTCACTTAAGTTTCTTTGTTGTTATTTTCCCTTTCATCTGCGTTGTATGTTAGAAAAGATACCATTTTGAGGAAGAAAATGAAAAAAAAAAGTCTTGTTCTTTTAAAATTCCGATTGCGATTTTATCTCTCAAACATGCCACAGTCAGGTACCAAGTAATCATAAAGTGGGAACCTTAATTGCACACTGAAAGAATATGTATTTGAAATTAGGGCTTCAATAGGAAACAAAAATACGGATGCAGAAAATAGTGTTACGTATTGGCATCATGGATATATTCCATAGTTCATACTCTACGGCAACGTGAATCCAACAGTTCTACGAAGAGTTAACCATGTAAAACCATTCTTATAAATCATTGATTATTGATAAACATTTCATGATGAAAAATTGTAGCTATATACGGATGCATGAAAAGCATATGTGTAACCTCTCTCTCTCTCCCTTACACATGCAAAGAGATGAGACAAAGATTCTATAGTGGAAGTAGGTGTGGAAATGAGGTGAAAAGAGTGGTCCTAACTTAAAGTCTCAGAAGATACTAATGCTTTCCCAGTGAATTGCAAGAGATTAAGATTACGAAAAAGTGATATCTCTTCACTTTAGGGTCCATTCTTCTCACTTTTTTCCTTTAATAGGTCAATCGAAGAAGACGGATCATGATCGTGTGCATGCTCATTATTGGATACTTGTTTTTTTTTTTTTGAGAAAGGGTTTTTAATTGGATACTTGTTTCTCTCTTCTATTTTTCTTTCTTAGCTTACAAGAGAAAGAACAAGCGTTTAGTCAAAAGAAAAAAAAAAGAACAAGTGCATGCTTAATGCAATATTCATACGCACTTACTACTTAGTATCAGATCGTTTTGCTCATCCTACTAAATAAAAAATTTATTGAAGCCACCATTTTCATATTCATGCACTTCAATATTGAATAAGCCAAAAGTGAGTGTTTGCAAATATAGATTTTATCGAATTTTTGAAAGCAAATAGATAGGTTCGAAATTTATTTCTTTCCTTTCTGTTGGTAACGGATTTTCCATTTTATTCATTCGTTATATGATATACTTTTAATGTT